GTGTGTATTCCTTTGTGTAGTGTTTGTTTGAATTTTTGCCCATGTTTAATTGCATTGTGCCTTAGTCAATTAGGGCTGCTATAATAAAATGCTATACACTGGGTAGCTTAAAAAGAACAGAAACATTTTTCACAGTTCTGCAGGCTGGAAAGTCCAAGATAATGGTTCCAGCATGGTCTCTTTCTAGTTGATTAGATCCTCCGATCTCTGCTTCATCTTCACATTGCCTCCTCCTCTGTTTGTATGTATGAAATCTTCCTCTTGTCAGGATACATGTAATGGCATTTAGGGCCCACCTGAATAATCTAAAATACTCTTCTCAGATGAAGATCCTTACTATAACATCTGCAAAGACCCTTTCCCCAATTAAGGTAACATTTGCAAATTCCAAGAATTCAGACCTGATATATACACAGGTGTCTTTGTAAGTATATAAAAACACAATCATTTTTTATATTTACCTTTGTGGGACTCAACCCATTGAATATTTCTACTGGCTTATTTATTTTTTTCTTACGGTTTTCAATGTAAACAATCAATTGAAAATGTTATGCCTTGTATTTCTTTTTCTTGCATTATTTCACTGCATGTAATACTTTTAGTCTTAAAATATAAACTGAAATGGAAATGTAAATGTTTGCATTTATTTTTTTAAGTTTTATATTAAAATTTTTATAATAGAAGTTTTTGTCCAGTTCTTCCTGGGAGATGCCCAAATTCCCTGACACCACACTCTTCCTCTGCAGTTTCCTGGAGAGAGAAACTAGCTAAGTCATGCATAACTGCACCATTATGGTTATCAAACTATTCCCACCCCTAAAATATTAGTCCTAAAATATAAATATAAAATATAAATTTTATAAATAATATAAATATACTTATATTAAAATATAAATATTTTAATATTTTAAATATAAAATTACACAATAACATGAATTTAATATTTTATAAACAATTTCAAGTTCTTGCCGAGTTTTATAAAGGTTAATGTGATTCAGTTTCACATTTATAAAGACAATTCTCAAATCTGTATTGCAAGCTTTACCTCCCTCTGGAATTCTAGGATTTGATTTCTAAGAGTCTCATAGATTTTTCCACCTAGATAACTCATTAATGCCTCAGCATTAATCATCAATCCAAAACCAGCATGATTGTCTCTACTCCAAATTAGCTTCCCAGTATCTGTGACTATCACTAGCACCGTTCATTGACTACAGATTGAAATACCAATCATCTTTGATTCCTGTCCTGAATTTATGCATTGAGCTTCCCATTGCTTTAAATACTCAGCAATATTCCTTTAGATAATCTCTCACCTCTATCCCCAATGTTGTATCTGGACCTCTCACACATACATTGCTCCATAGCTTCTTATCCGGCCTTCCCAAAATTATCTCTCTTTACAAACTCACCCTTTTCTGTTTTCTCCAGAATTATTTCTTTAGCCCACTTGCTAATGCTACAGTTCTGCCTGTAGTAGAACTTCCATCCCTTACTTGGTCCTCAGTGTCTATTCAACTCAATCTTTGTAAACACTGTTTATATTATTTACTCTTTAAGGTATGGGTCTCCCCAGCCAGACCACGAACACTTGAGAACAGGGCTGGGTTTTACTCTTTTTTAAAAATATATATCATTTTTTTTAATCCCCAAATGAGGATTTGTAGAAAATAATTTATAAATGTTTGTTGATGAGGATTATGACACCCTTTTCTGAGGGGTGGGAATAGTTTGATAACCATAACGGTGCAGTTATGCATGACTTAGCTAGTTTCTCTCTCCAGGAAACTGCAGAGGAAGAATGCGGTGTCAGGGAATTTGGGCATCTCCCAGGAAGAACTGGACAAAAACTTCTATTATAAAAATTTTAATATAAAACTTAAAAAAATAAATGCAAACATTTCAGTTTCCATTAACATCTCCCTTTCCAAAGATCTCTGGGATTAAAAGATAAACTGAATCATTAAAAATTTAAAGGGTTTATTTTTTAATCATGCTGATTCTAATCTTCTATTTCATACAGTGCAGAAAGAAACATCATGCATACATCTTGCACAGTTTGTAAGCAAATAATGTAGAGGGTCTGGAAACAGAAAATCAGGTATGGATTTCTTGGCACGAGAAGTCATTTCTGGCCTAAGCCGTTTTGTGATCTAAGCCTGGCCACAAAGCTTGTCCTCAGGTCTCAGGAATTAATGATCTTAAGGGAACAGAAAACTGGACCATAAAGAAGGCTGAGAGCCAAAGAAATGATGCTTTCAAATTGTGATGCTAGAGAAAACTCTTTAGAATCCCTCAGATTGCCAGGAAATCAAACCAGTCAATCCTAAAGGAAATCAATCCAGAATATTCATTGGAAGGGCTGATGCTGAAGCTGAAGCTCCAATACTTTGGCCACCTGATGTGAAAAGCCAACTCATTGGAAAAGACCCTGATGTTGGGAAAGACTGAAGGCAAATAGTTAGATAGCATCACTGATTCAATGGACATAAACCTGAACAATCTCCGGGAGATGATGAAGGACAGGGAGGTCTGGAGTGCAGCAGTCCATGGGCTCTTGAAGAGTCAGATATGACTTAGCGACTAGACAGCAATAACAACAAAAGTGAACAAAATGAAAGAATACAGAAATAAAACTGTTATCAGGCAAGAGAAGCAACAACACATCAGTTGTAAACACTTCCAGTATCTCGTTCACTGCTAAAGGTTAGCCTGAAGCCTCAACCATCAGATCAACTGGAATCTAAGGAATGATGATGTTGACCTTTTCTGACCCATGTGACTCCAATCAACTAAAGCTTAGACACTGTTAACTGACTGAGCCCCTTCAAGAATATACATGTAACCCTTAGCTTAAAACTTCCCCAGCTTTTTAAGAAAGGATGCATTGCTTTGGGAAAGATTCCCAGTGGTCTCATCACATGGCTGCAAGTAATAAAATCTCCCTTTTCCCAGCTTTGGTTTGGTTGTGTCTTTCAGCTCAACATTCACCAAGAGGAGAACCCAGTTGTTGGGGGAACAGATTCAGCAGGCTAAATGCCTAGAAGTAAAATCACAAAACAAGAGTTTTGTAAGATGTAAAGATAACCCATACAGGAAAGGAGTTGCCATTATTTGGTTTCCATTTTTTCCCCCCATTAAAACAACTGGAGCTTAACAGTAACAGAGGAATTTTTGCATAACTCGAGTTCTACAAAAAGATAGTTTGTACAGATCAGTACAGCAAGTTTCTATTTGCTGTTTTCATTAACACAGTCACCACACTAAACATAATAAAGAAAATTCCCATGGTCCTTCATGTGGGAAGTTTACTAACAAAGGCTGGGTCTATACTCGGTGTCACTTTGAAGGAATGGATATTGACTTCAGTTCAGTTCAGTTCAGTCGCTCAATTGTGTCCGATCCTTTGCGATCCCGTGAACCGCAGCATGCCAGGCCTCCCTGTCAATCACCAACTCCTGGAGTTTACTCAAACTCATGCCCATCGAGTCGGTGATGCCATCCAGCCATCTCATCCTCTGTCGTCCCCTTCTCCTCCTGCCCTCAATCCCTCCCAGCATCAGGGTCTTTTCCAATGAGTCAACTCTTCGCATGAGGTGGCCAAAGTATTGGAGTTTCAGCTTCAGCATCAGTCCTTCCAATGAACACCCAGGACTGATCTCCTTCAGGATGGACTGGTTGGATCTCCTTGCAGTGCAAGGGACTCTCAAGAGTCTTCTCCAACACCACAGTTCAAAAGCATCAATTTTTCAGCGCTCAGCTTTCTTAACAGTCCAACTCTCACATCCATACATGATCACTGGAAAAACCATAGCCTTGACCAGCTAATTGACTTCACTATCTTTCACAAGCCATGTCCTTCGTATGGGCCCGTTTTCACATAAAACATGAAATGGTAAGAGCTGTAAGGGGAAAAAAGATATTTAAAGTTATAGAACTGCCTTAGACTACTGGCAGAGATAATAGATAGAGATGGGGTCCAGGATTGCTTAAGATCTGGAAGCCTTCATTGAAATGCTGGGAGGAGGAAACAACAAAAGAGACTGAGGAGCAGCAGTCCTGGAGAAAAGGTTAGTATGGGTCCTGAAAGCCAGGAGAGTGCTGAGTATCCAATATTCTGAGATGAACGTGAAGCAGTCCAGTAACCACCGGCAATATGGAATTGTTGGTGGCTTTTGACAACAGCAATATCAACAAATTAGTGAAATTAAAAGCCAGATGACTGCCAGTTAAGGAGTGAATGAACAAAATTATTTTTGATGCCTTTATAAACTGCACATGCATGTTTCAAGCTCGCCTAATTCATAAGTTTCTCTTGGATCTCCTTCAGATTCTAAAGCATTTAACCCGTCCAATACTCCTCTCAGGCTCCCGAGATTGCTCTAAGCTTATGAATGTTTTTCCTAAACAAAGCCGTCATACAAAGAAGCAGGGCAAAAGGGCAGCAGTGGGTTTTCATTACTCTATTCTATTGGTCTATCCCTGTATTAACTCATTCTGTATTCCCTAGCCGCCTCTATGCTCCAGCAATATTAAATTTTCTTAAATTGGTAGCCACCCGGTGAGAATTTATCATCTGTATTTCACGCCTTTCAGTCCCTGCCTTGCACCTCCACCTTTCCGCTCCTCAAGAATTTAACTTGAGAGGCACCAAGTTCCCAGTACCACCCCGGAAACAAAGAGGGCGGGGTAGGGAGAGGGGAGGGGAAAATAAAGTGGTTCCTACAGGGGCTTTGAGTGCATGCGCGAGTCCACGGCCGGACCGTTTTTGCTGCCCTCCTGGAAGAGCGGGGCGGAGGTTTGGCAGACGGACCGAGTACGGGTGCCGAGCAGGCTCTTACGGAAGTCCATTCGCCACTGGGAGGGCCGCAGAGGCTGCTCTGTGCCCTTGTTGCTGCGGGCCTCTTCCTGGGTCATTCCCGGAGCAGGACCGGACTGGGGCTGACACCAGGGCTCCCCGCTGGCCGCCTCGGCGCCTGTGTGACCTCCTCGCCGGCGGGATGTGGCGAGTTCGCCGGGCTGCCGTGGCCTGGTAAGTCCGGGCTCCGACCTGGCCCCGTTATTTCTGGGGCGTCCAGAAAACTGAGCTGCCCCATCACTACCTCCAGAGTGTGCAGGTAACTCTCAGGCCAGGAGGAGGGCAGTTGGATGGTTCCGGGATATTTCTGAGCTCCTAGAGTGACTGGAGCCCTGACTGGGTTTACCTGAGATGCTGGCCCCAGTACTGGCCCTTGTCCCTATTCCCCTCGGGAAGATTCTGGGCCCATTTCAGTCTTGGCCTGTTGTTTCTGTTGTCCTTTTGTACCTGCCACTTCACCCTTCTGTCCTCGCTGTTATATCTGTCTCTGGTGGCTTCTGGTTTCTGTTCCCTCTCTCTTCGGGCTCTCTGGTGCTATCCATGTGTCACCTTTTCCGCGTCTTTTTCTTCTACCGCCACGCTAGGTTTACATTGCTTTTGCAGGTACCCGAGCTGTTCTGTTCGGGCAAAGAGGACTCTGCCTCTTCCCTTGGTCCGCTAAAGAACATGATTTGGAGTCACATTTGGAGCAGTGACGCATACAGTGTCAGAGATGGTGATTAGAGATATTCTCTTAATAGCAGCTTTCTTTTCAGTGTTCATGGAGGGAGAGTTGCTTTTTGGATGTGAGGTGGTGAATGTAGCACTACTTTTCTAATCACCGTGTTATTGCTGACCTGGTCTGACTTAATCCTAAACCGAAAATGATAGAAGTATTTACATGTCTATGGGTTGCTGTGTGCATTTTAATGAAATTAAATTTGGCTCTAATTTTTACACCTAGTTGTGTTCTGATGACCTTAAACACCTTCAGGTTTAACTTATTGTTGCAGGCATGAGATGAGAAGTAACATGTATCAAGCAAAGTTGGAAAAACCTGGATTTCCTGAATTAACTCAGTCTCTAAACACCTGTCTTGAGTATTTTTTTCAGAGTGTTTTAGGTGGTATAATTTATAGTGTTTGTAAGGGATGGAATCCATTTGCTTTATGTAGGTTAACCTTGAGTCTAAATTTAGAACTGAAAAAAGCATACAATAGTTGTAGCTTTAGTCAGTTAGAATACTTGAATAAATTACTTCTGACCTCATGGAATTTTAATTTCTGAGTAAGCCCTTGGTACTACACTAAGTTCTTTACAACCTTTTTATTTCTACTTCTCAGTATTTACTGGGGAAATATATCTAGTTTTCTTTACATAAGAAGAGGAAAGACTTCAGAAAATAGCGTACTTTGTTGAATTGATTAAGATATTTAGGAAATACTTTAAAAACTGAGTTTAGAAACAAACTAGATATCAACTGATAATTATTCAGTTAGATTCTGTCAGCTAAATTGTTTCTAAAGTTACTATTGGCTCCATAGTCATGGTTTAAGATATCTTATGGTGACTGCACAGTTTAGCTGCCTGCCCAGTTAGAGATGAGGAAGGTCAGATGCCCCATGTTCTGGAGTTTGCCTTTTGATGTAGTTCCTATGAATGTTATGAAGGAGTACACTTAAATTCTTACTCTTTAACAAACATTCTTTGACATGTACATACTCATATGTACATACTCATAGACATGTAAGAAGACTATTGACCAACATTTATTTAGGTGCAATAAGTATTTACATAAAATTGTTGAAAAAATAATTACATGCTAGGAATCTGTGCAGGTTAAAAGAAGATGGATAAATGGGAATAGATGATTTCTGGAGTGAGGGTTGGGGAGCCTTGTTTTGCATCACATTTGATTTTTAGTTTGGCCTAAATACAGAAATATATATTCAAATTCTTTTCCACCATTCACTAATCATTCTACCTTAGGTGAGACACAGTTTAAAAAAGCAAATTGGAAAAATAAGGATCCTTACCAGGTTTTTCTGCGAGTTAACAGTAGCATTTGTGCAAACATCTGACATAATGCCTGTCAGTTACATACCCCTTGCCCCTCACTGCCCTCCTTCACAACATAATTTCAGTGTTCCTCTATTCCTTTTTCTTAAGATATTTCTAATTCCATGTAATTAAATGAAATATTTTAGCTCTTTAGAACAGGGCCTGGCTGGTAGTAAGCACTATGACTGTGTGTTGAATAAGATAATCAAGTGTGTGTTTGTTGGTAGGAGACTTTCATTCGCTGCCAGGAAGAACAAGAGAGGAGAGCTGAGAAAGTAACGTGCATTTAGATCCTTCTCTTTGGGGTGTTTTTTTTTTCTGTTTCTGGGGAGTCTGGTACCTGAGGTGTTAATTTTTCCTTAATTTCCATCCCTGAACCGTCTCTGGATTGTGAGACATGAGAAGGCAAAGAATAGATGTTGTGAGCTACTGGAACTTTTGTGATGAAAAGTAAAAGTTTATGTGCCCATTTTTGTATAGGTGAATCCATAATTCACATTTATTTTCTTTCTTTTTAAAACAATTTTTAGTCATTTTATCTACGTCTGTGCTGGGTCTTGGTTGCTGCACAGGGCTTTCTCTAGCTGCGGTGAGTGAGGTCTGCTCTCTAGAGTGAGGGCTCTAGGGCACATGGGTTCAGTAGTTGTAGTGCTGGACTGAGCAGGTGTGATCTCTCCAGACCAGGGGTCGAACACATGTCTCCTGTATATGCAGCTGGGTCTTTACCACTGAGCCACCAGGGAAGCCCACATTTATTTTCAAGTCACTATTTTAACCTAACATTACATGAAGTCTTTTGTTATATCTACATGGCCTTCATATTTATCACTTTAATGGCTCTACAGTATCCTCTTTTGTTTATATGCCATAGTTGATAAATTTTTGCTCTTAATATTATATATTTAAGTGGTAACATTATTTTTTGCTATTATAGCGCATCTTTTTTTCCAGTTTTATTGAGATATAATTGGCATACATCATTGTATAAGTTTAAAGTGAACAGTATAGTGATTTAACGTAAATACATCATGAAGTGATTATGACAATAAATTTAGTGAACAGCTATAGTCTCATATAGATTCAAAATTAAAGAAATAGAAAAAACATTTTTGTGATGACAATTCTTAGGATTTACTGTCTTAACTTTCATATATAGCATAACAGCTGTGCTAATTACATTTATCATGTTGTACACTACAGTCTTAGTATTTATTTTAGAACTGTAAATGTGTGCCTTTCGACTGCCTTCATCCAATTCCCCCTTCTACCGCCATGCTTCTAGTAACCACAAACCTGATCTCTTTTCTAAGTGTGAATGTTTGGTTTTGAAGTATAATTGACCTACAACACTACATTGGGTCCTATTACACAGCACAGTGATCTGGTATTTCTATACCATTTCAAAATGATCACCATGGTAAAGTCTAGGTCAGATATGTCACTAAGTAAAGATATTTTGTTTTCAAATTTAGTTTTGATTTTTTGGGCCATGATCATAACCCACATATCGTAAATCAAGGGACAGGCTCTGGAGTCCCGCTGTCTAGATTTGAATCCCTCCATTACTTCTATCAGTGGGACCTCAGTAACTTACTTATACCTGTCTGCCTTTTCCTTGTCGGTAAAATGGGGGTGATCCTGGTACTTTTGTCCTAGGGTTGTCAGCAGGGTTAACTGAATTAGCGCCCACTGCAGCAGTGTCTGGCGCACAGTAAATGGTTAATGCCTGAGCGCTATCGTGAGACACAGTGTAATGGGTCAGCTGTGCCCTGTGTGGCTTACCTTTTGCATATTGCTCTTTTAATATCATCTCTTTACATTGTTTTCCTGTCTGATCTTTCTCCCATACCTACTTTTCTTTCAGTGAGGTCTGCCAATCTTTAGTGAAACGCAGCTCTGGAACGAAAGGAAGTTTACCACTACAAAAACTACATCTGGTTTCACGAAGTATTTATCATACACATCATCCTACCTTAAAGCTTCAAAGACCCCAATTAAGGACATCATTGCAGCAGTTCTCTTCTCTAACTAGCCTTCCTTTACGTAAACTGAAACTTTCTCCGGTTAAATATGGCTACCAGCCCCACAGGAATTTTTGGCCAGCCAGATTAGCAGCAAGACTGTTGAAACTCCGGTATCTCATACTCGGATCTGCTGTTGGGGGTGGCTATACAGCCAAAAAGGTGGGTTTCACCTTGCTACTGCTTTTCCAGTTACTCCAGCAAATATTTTAAGGTTTCATAGCATATGTCGTTTTTCTTTAACGCAGTAGAATATAATTAGTTGTTTAAACATTTGTGTGTCTCTGTCATGTGCTAAACTGTTTTAATGGTGCTAATAGGAAAATGCTCTCAGAATCTTAGTTATTATAAGAGGTGAAAATGGCCTAATGGAAGGAGCAGTGACCTGGGAGTGAGAATACCTTGGTTTGGTTTGCAACTCTGCCGTTTAGTAGGCCAGGAACGGAAGTAGGTGGCATGCTCCTGCAGCCAGTTCGTGGCAACTCTGGGACCAGAGGCAGGGTCTCCTGATCCCTGGTTTGTCTTCCCTCTATTCCTCAAATCATGTTTAAAGTCAAATCATGAAAACTATTTGAGCTCCGAGCGAGGCAGCAAGATGGACGCGGGATTCTTCCGCGGGACAAGTGCAGAACAGGATAATCGGTTCAGCAACAAACAGAAGAAGCTACTGAAGCAGCTGAAATTCGCAGAATGCCTAGAAAAAAAGGTGGACATGAGCAAAGTAAATTTGGAGGTTATAAAGCCTTGGATAACAAAACGAGTAACAGAAATCCTTGGGTTTGAAAATGATGTTGTGATTGAGTTTATATTCAACCAGCTGGAAGTGAAGAATCCAGATTCGAAAATGATGCAAATCAACCTGACCGGGTTTTTGAATGGAAAAAATGCTAGAGAATTTATGGGAGAGCTGTGGCCCCTACTCTTAAGTGCACAAGAAAACATCGCTGGAATCCCTTCTGCTTTCCTAGAACTGAAGAAGGAAGAAATAAAACAGAGACAGATTGAACAAGAAAAGTTGGCATCTATGAAAAAGCAAGATGAAGACAAGGATAAGAGGGATAAAGAAGAAAAAGAAAGCAGCAGAGAAAAAAGGGAGCGGTCTCGAAGCCCAAGAAGGTGCAAATCCAGATCTCCTTCCCCTAGAAGACGATCTTCCCCTGTCAGGAGAGAGAGAAAGCGCAGTCATTCTCGATCTCCCCGTCACAGAACCAAAAGCCGGAGTCCTTCCCCTGCTCCAGAGAAGAAGGAAAAAACTCCAGAGCTCCCAGAGCCATCAGTGAAAGTAAAAGAACCTTCAGTACAAGAGGCCACTTCTACTAGTGACATCCTGAAAGTTCCCAAGACTGAACCAGTACTAGAACCTAAAGAACCTTCTCCAGAGAAAAACTCCAAAAAGGAAAAGGAGAAGACCCGACCAAGATCTCGGACACGTTCCAAGTCAAGATCCCGGACACGTTCTCGCTCTCCTTCTCATACTAGACCAAGGCGGCGCCATAGATCTCGATCAAGATCATACTCGCCTAGGAGGCGGCCAAGCCCAAGAAGACGACCCTCTCCTCGAAGAAGAACCCCACCAAGACGAATGCCTCCTCCCCCAAGGCATAGAAGGAGTAGATCTCCAGTGAGACGAAGAAGGCGTTCATCGGCATCCTTGTCTGGGAGTAGTTCATCATCATCTTCGTCTCGTTCCCGGTCACCGCCAAAGAAGCCTCCGAAGAGGACATCCAGCCCTCCTCGAAAAACTCGTAGGTTATCTCCTTCAGCAAGTCCTCCGAGGCGAAGGCACAGGCCATCACCTCCAGCTACTCCACCACCAAAAACTCGTCATTCCCCAACACCCCAGCAGTCAAACCGTACAAGGAAAAGTCGTGTTTCTGTCTCTCCAGGGAGAACTTCAGGTAAAGTGACAAAACATAAAGGTACTGAGAAAAGAGAATCCCCTTCACCAGCACCGAAGCCTCGGAAAGTAGAGTTGTCTGAATCGGAAGAAGATAAAGGTGGCAAAATGGCTGCAGCAGATTCTGTGCAGCAGAGACGCCAATATAGACGACAGAACCAGCAGTCTTCATCTGATTTTGGCTCCTCCTCTTCCTCAGAAGATGAACGACCCAAAAGGTCCCATGTGAAGAATGGTGAGGTAGGCAGGCGACGGAGACATTCCCCTTCCCGGAGTGCCTCTCCATCACCTCGAAAGCGCCAGAAAGAGGCTTCCCCTCGTGGTAGACGGAGGAGAAGTCCCTCCCCACCGCCCGCCAGAAGGCGACGTTCTCCTTCTCCTGCTCCTCCGCCTCGTCGACGCAGGTCTCCCACACCACCACCACGGCGGAGGACTCCGTCTCCTCCTCCACGTCGTCGCTCACCTTCCCCAAGAAGATACTCTCCTCCAATACAGAGGAGATACTCTCCTTCTCCACCTCCGAAGAGAAGAACGGCTTCACCCCCTCCCCCTCCTAAACGAAGGGCATCACCATCTCCACCACCAAAGCGTCGGGTCTCCCATTCACCACCTCCCAAACAAAGAAGCTCCCCAGTCACCAAGAGACGTTCGCCTTCACTGTCATCAAAGCATAGGAAAGGGTCTTCCCCGAGCCGATCTGCCCGGGAGGCCCGGTCACCACAGCCAAACAAACGGCATTCGCCATCACCACGGCCTCGCGCTCCTCAGACCTCAAGTCCTCCACCTGTTCGAAGAGGAGCATCATCGTCACCCCAAAGAAGGCAGTCCCCATCTCCAAGTTCTAGGCCCATTAGGAGAGTCTCCAGGACTCCGGAACCCAAAAAGATAAAAAAAGCTGCCTCACCAAGCCCTCAGTCGGTAAGGAGGGTCTCATCTTCCCGATCTGTCTCGGGATCTCCTGAGCCAGCAGCTAAAAAGCCCCCAGCACCTCCGTCACCTGTCCAGTCTCAGTCACCCTCCACCAACTGGTCACCAGCGGTACCGGTTAAAAAGGCTAAAAGCCCAACACCAAGCCCATCACCGGCAAGGAATTCAGACCCAGAAGGAGGTGGAAAGAAAAAGAAGAAAAAGAAGGACAAGAAACACAAAAAGGATAAGAAGCACAAGAAGCACAAGAAACACAAGAAGGAGAAGGCCGTAGCTGCCGCGGCTGCAGCTGCCATAACCCCTGCAGCTGTGGCTGCCCCCACAACCACCTCAGCACAGGAGGAGCCAGAGCCAGAGCCTAAGAAGGAGACTGAAAGTGAGGCTGAAGATAACCTTGATGACTTAGAAAAGCACCTGCGTGAAAAGGCCCTGAGATCAATGCGGAAGGCTCAAGTGTCCCCACAGTCCTAGATGGAAATGTTTGTTATGATGTAAATTTTATTTGGTTTGTACGCAATTCAATTTCAAAATTGCTAAAATGTGTTTGAGCTTTAGACTATAACATTTGTTGTAATAATTGCTAGGTTGATGTTCACCATGTTAAAAAAAAGGGCATGGATTTACATTGCAAAAGGTGTCCACAGTGTATTAGTGACATTCTTTCATTGACAGCTGACATAAATTCGTTTAGACTGAAATATTTTAAGCCAAAAAAGAAGAATCCTCTTTTTAAAAAAGGGGGTTTAAATATCGTTGGCATTCTTATGGTTCCTTTAAATACCCCTGGCTATTCCCAGAGGTTTCTCTTTCTACTTTTTCTTTCCTTTTTCATTTTTCTCATTTGAGTCTTAGCACCCATTTAAGTTATGATGCTTTCAACCTTGATGGTTTGCAAGCTTGCCCAGAAATAAGACCACTGTTGAACTACCACAAAAGTATAAATGAATATTTTAATGCCACAATCTTTCCTGTTGCCTGTGGAGTCTCTGTTGAAATGAATCAGGATTCGAGCTCTAAGATGAGACAGAAAATGAAAGCATGTTGTTTGCCAGGACACTGTGGGTTTATATAGATGTGTAACAAGTTGATTTGGAACACTGGAATTTCATTCTTTTCTCTTTTTTTGTAAAGGCAATTAACTAGCCCCAGGAAGGATCCTTCAGTTACATAAAATTTTGTTTTATGAAATGTCATGGCTCCATTCATAATTTTGTCTTGTTCCAGTCGGTATATACAACTTTCAGAGCTCTTGTATTTGGAAAGCTGGAAGGGCCCAGACTTTGAAATAGTGTCTTGTTTTCACTGTTTTTGTTTCGTTTTTGTTTCTTTTTTTTTTTTTTTTTAACTAAAGCTATATAAAGCTTGTGGATTAAACAGAATAAATTTCTAAATTTAAAAAAAAAAAAAGAAAACTATTTGAAATAGAAGTTTACTTTGAATTTTTCCATTTTCTATATTTAGTAAAGAAACATTTACATGCTTTATATACTTGTCTGTTAATTTATTTTTAAACGAGCAAAGGCCACTTTGTTTCTCAAAATTGTGAACATAATACATTACTCTTAGCAGCTTAGCAAGTTTTAACAAAATGAATTTAGCTAGTTTTTATTTTATATGGCATTCAGATTATTTGATTGGCATACTTTCTTATCTTTTAGACTTTTGATCAATGGAAAGACATGATACCTGACCTTAGTGACTATAAATGGATTGTACCTGACATCGTGTGGGAGATTGATGAGTACATTGATTTGGGTTTGTATCAACATTAGAATACTTTTCTTGGTTGTCTCTTTAGGAAAGAAAAATAGTTGTATTGAGATGGCTCCTTAACTCTAAATTTAAGGTTGCAGCAGTTTTATTTTCATAATGAAAGTAATAGACTAGCAGAGTAACAATTGGTTAGAAACAAAAATAACCCACTGGTTCATCACTTTAATACAGCTGCCACTGTAGTTTCTTTTAATTGTATCTACTTTGTGTATGTGGTTAATATTTTACTTTCCTTTTTAAAAATTGTATGGTCATAGTGAACAAACACTTTGCTATCTTGTCTTTTGTTACCTAACACATTTGTCAGCATTTTCTACACTGCCAAGCAGCCTTCTTGAGCATCATTTTCAGTGTTGTGTTACTCAGAACAGCTTCACCTAACTAGCTCTCTTTGAGTACCTTGGTTACCTCTACTTTTTATTACCAAATTCCTGAAAAGCCTGCTAATGGCCAGAGTAATTTCTCCTGTTAGTCTGCCATTGTTCCTTTTTCTAGTAATAGATGAGAAACAGGTTTATTTGTGATTGCCAGTAAGTCATGGTGATCTTTAGAAAAAAAAAATTGTCTGATGAAGTTATTTTCCTCGGGTCTCTCTTTATAGACTGTGTAGACTTTTTTTAGACTTTAGCTTAGATGTATCCAGGGATGGATTTAATCTCTGCATGCACTGTTTACAGCACTTTCTTAAAGATTATTGCATTGATAAAGATATTTACAAGAAAAGCAGTCCTTCAAATTATTTTTCTAACATTTATGAGGAGAGCTTTTTAACCTGATACATTCACCAATAATACACTGTAATGGCTACCAGCCTTGGTTCTGAAGCTAGGCTACCTAGTCTTAAACCTGACTGCCCCACTTTGCTGGGTGCACAGGTCCTGTTATGTCTCTGTGTTCCATTCCTGATCTGTAAAATGGGGCTGATGAGAACTGATTTGTAGCATTTCCATGAAGATGGAACAAGTTAATGCTTTTATTGCGTTTAGACTAAGACTTAATACATATTTTTATTTTGAGAAACTTTGTGTTCTATCTTCTCCAGAGAAAGAAAAGCCCTTCTTGAATCAAAAGACACTGTAAAGTTGTACCAAACTTGGACAGAATTGTTGAGTATTTGTAAACAAAAATAAATACTTGGTCACTTTACAAATAAAGCTAGCAAAAATAAAGGCTTGTCTTGGGTTCATAGACAGTTTTTTCAAAATGGTAACATAAAAGGAGAAAGAGAAGTAATGAAATTCTGTTCTTGAGTTTAAACTGACATTACTTTTTTAGAATTTGGGCCAGGTGCTACAAAAGATTTTTAAAGTACTTCTTTAAAGTACTGGATTGATTCCAATCCAGTGTTAACATTTATACTGTGCTTCTGTCTCAAGGCATTTAACTTATGAATCAAAAATATCTAAGCCATATGTTTGGGCCTTTTTAAAAAATTTTCATGGCTTATAGAATATCATCAGAATAACACATTGTTTCAGATACATGTAGCAATTATAGTTGGAATAGAGAGAAAAATGGAAAAACTTAGTTTGTATATGATTTATTTAAATTGTATGAATGGTTCAGTAGTCACATTTTAATTTGGAGACTACCTTTTCTTTTCTTCAGAGAAAATTAGAAAAGCCCTTCCTAATTCAGAGGACCTTGCAAAATTGGCACCTGACTTTGACAAGATTGCTGAAAGCCTCAGCTTACTAAAGGACTTTTTCACCACAGGTAAGGAAAGACCTGTGTTTGATCTCATTTAAAATATCAGAAAACACAGAGGAAAGATGCTTAAGATACATTCATTTTTTCCATCTTTTAAATGAAAATGTTTAGTACAAATAAAAGCCAGGTTTTTTTATTAGACAGATAAAACAAAATTTTGTTGCTCCATAGTTTTAATCTTTTTTAATTTATTTATTTTTATTTTTTGGCCACATTGTACAGCATGTGGAATCTTAGTTCCCTAACCAGGGATTGAACCCACGCCCCCTGCAGTGGAAACAGAGTCTTATCACTGGACCACCAGGGAGGTTCCTGTGGTTTTAATTTTTGTTTGGCCCAGCAAAATGAAAAATTTCAAGAACTTAAACATCTTGGCTTTAGTCAGTGAGGGGAAAATAAGTCACTGGTTCTTGACAAGTAGATGAGACTTCCTGTGTGTTTGCTATTCATAATTGATTAGAGCCAATTTTAAAACATTTAATTATAATGGACCATGATGAGTAGAATTTACTAAGGTCAATCCTGGTGTATTTGCCCAATTCTGCCCTACCATGATATAAATTTGAGGTCTCAGACATCTCTGTTTGCTCATTTCTGTTAAATTTTACATTTCTATTTCCCCTTTTGCTGATTTTTCACAGGTCACAAATTGGTTAGTGAAGTCATAGACGCTTCTGACCTACTTCTCTTGTTAGGTGTGTAAACAGATATTTTTGCTGATCTTAACATGTCTTTTAAATGCTTCTAATAAACTAGTTGCAAATAAAATTGCAGACCAAATTTATAATGCTGCTTGTGCTGAATTTTAAAATGTCAGAATTATATTGGGCAAATTCATTATCCTAAATTTAGGTGGAAATAATAAAATAATTATTTTGTGATAAAACTGAAATTCCTAAGTATGTATCTAAATTATAAGATTAAAACTGTTAAAAAGAAAGTTTGCTTAACCAAACTATTTTCTTGAACCAGATCTGGTGGTTTCTCATAATTGAAACAGTCATTTTAGTTTGTTTCATCTGTCCTGTCACAGTTGACATTTTTACTTTTTTTTACTGTATGTGGTCTGTTATGGCAGTAGTGTATGGCTGAACTGTAAGTACTCTCTTGTAAAATAATCCTTATCAAAGATTCTTATTTTTTAATGGTACTTTTCAGTGACATTTTAAAAACTCAGTTAAACAGGTCCTATAATGGTTTTGAAATTTTTTTTTCTTAGGTTACCACTTTGTTCCTTAAAATAAGAATAGCTTTCCAAAATGATTTTTGCTCTAAAAATCCACTTACTTTTCAACTGACTAAATATAATATGGAATTTAGTTTAGACTTTGAGCTTCACTGGAGAATTTATAAGACTGCATATTTATCTTTAAGGTTCACCTGGAGAAACGGCCTTTAGAGCGACAGATCCCGGATCTGAAAGTGACAAGCGTTATAGAAAGGTAAGTATAAAGGAGCACTCTTCACACAGACAGTCTTTAAAGATTTTTTTTAAGTTTTTACCTGCCCTGGAAGATTTTAAAATGGTAACATCTGAGAAGCAAACATAACATTACTCAGTGGAGGTATTGTTGTTGTTCTTGGTGCAAAAGGAAGGGATTTGTGCAACAGTTGTGGAGATAGAGCTGGATAAGCCAGTTTCCCTCAAATATATTTGAGAAATATTAGTTTCCAGTGTTTTGGCAACAAAGGGTTTTGTTGTTAAATATGTGTGGGAGAAAACTGGTGTAAATAAAACAAGCAAGCTTCTTTTCTCTAGGATTTCTCAGACCTTGATATATGCATGTGCATTGTGAAGCTATAAGAGATTTGTCAAAATGTGCAGTTTTCTAGATATATTTACCAACAAAACCCTTTTTTCCATGAAATATCTTCTAGATACCAGTGTTTCATGATATACACTTAGGGGAAATCTTAAGAAAATAGCAAGTTTGTTACTGGGGGATGTAGATTTCTATTACATTGGTAGTCAACAAAATTATGTATGGAGTTATTTAGGATATGCTAATTTCCATACATGCTTTAAAATCCATATAAAGTTTTAGATTTGCTGATATAGAATAAAATGCATTGTTGTGTGTTTATATTCATGTTAGCCTGATATTGTCTTAGTCTTCACTTTTTTCATCTTTTCAAAATTGTAATGTAAGTGATTCGTTGAAAGCTTTTTTCAAAATAATACCTAGGTAAATAGATATCTGTAAAATACTCTATGAACATTTAAAAATTAAGTACAAACATTTAACAAATAATGAAGGTTATTGTGGTTTTAATGCATTGAGGTAAATAATTTCATGGCTTTGGGGGGAAGCAGGAAGAAAATAATTGCTTTGTGTAGATTTCTATCTGGTTTCCTATCCTTCAGCTTTGAACTTTTTATTTGATATTCCATGTGTCAATTATATTTCAAAATTTTTTTTCTTTTGTCTTTTAACCTGATCTTTTGGAGAAAACATTTTTCAAGATGTGTGTATGTGTGCATGTGTATTTGTCTTTTAACTTGATCATTTTTGATAACCTTTTCCATTTCCTTTTCCTTTACCCTTGGCATTATTTTGACCAGGGACACCCTTGACTGTGCATGCTACTGGGAAGAAAAATCTGAATAGAAATTAGCCTATGATGATAAACTTTTTTTTGAGCCAGAGGCTTGACCCTTGCTGCAGGTAGATTTAATGTGCAGGGAGAAAACGAATGTATCTGAGGAGAAGGAACCTCTGTTACAGAGGAGGTAGTATGATTTTCAAGTGACATGATTTCTTGCTGCCTAGATCAGTTAGGCGAGTCCTGCATCCCTGTTCTTTTCTGACATGGCCTACGATTGTTTTGGTTCATGAGAATCGTGCCTGTTTTGAACCTGCCAGATAATTCCCTTATAATCCTGCTAAAGTGATAAATGAGTAGTAATAATTGATAAGTGGTCAGGAGCTTTGCAGTATAGAAGAAACAAGAGAAGTAATCTCTGAAAATTTATTTATATTTACCGATTTTATTTTATACAGTAGTTCAGTTCAGTCACTCAGTCACATCTGACTTTTTGCGACCCCATGAATCGCAGCATGCAAGGCCTCCCTGTCCATCACCAACTTCCGGAGTCCATCCAAACCCATGTCCATTGAGTCGGTGATGCCATCCAGCCATCTCATCCTCTGTCATCCCCTTCTCCTGCCTTCAGTCTTTCCCAGCATCAGGGTCTTTTCCAGTGAGTCAGCTCTTCGCATCAGGTGGCCATAAGTATTGGAGTTTCAGCTTCAACATCAGTTCTCCCAATGAACACCCAGGACTGATCTCCTTTAGGATGGACTGGTTGGATCTCCTTGCAGTCCAAGGGACTCTCAAGAGAGTCTTCTCCAACACCATAGTTCAAAAGCATCAATTCTTCTGCGCTCAGCTTTCTTTATAGTCCAACTCTCACATCCATACATGACCACTGGAAAAACCATAGCCTTGACTAGACGGACCTTTGTTGGCAAAGTAATGTCTCTGCTTTTTAATATGCTCTCTAGGTTGGTCATACCAAGGAGTAAGTATCTTTTAATCTCATGGCTGCAGTCACCATCTGCAGTGATTTTGGATCCCAGAAAAATGAAGTCAGCCAGTGTTTCCACTATTTTCCCCATCTGTTTGCCATGAAGTGATGGGATCAGATGCCATGATCTTCGTTTTCTGAATGTTGAACTTTAAGCCAACTTTTTCACTCTCCTCTTTCACTTTCATCAAGAGGCTCTTTAGTTCTTCTTCACTTTCTGCCATAAGGGTGGTGTTATTTGCATATCTGAGGTTATTGATATTTCTCCCGGCAATCTTGATTCCATCTTGTGCTTCCTCCAGCCCAGCGTTTCTCATGATGTACTCTGCATATAAGTTAAATAAGCAGGGTGACAATATACAGCCTTGACATACTTCTTTTCCTACTTGGAACCAGTCTGTTGTTCGATGTCCAGTTCTAACTGTTGCTTCCTGACCTGCATACAGATTTCTCAAGAGGCAGGTTAGGTGGTCTGGTATTCCCATCTCTTAAAGAATTTTCCACAGATTATTGTGATCCACACAATTAAAGGCTTTGGCATAGTCAATAAAGCAGAAGTAGATGTTTTTCTGGAACTCTTGCTTTTTCAATGATCCAACAGATGTTGGCAATTTGAGCTCTGGTTCCTCTGCCTTTTCTAAAACGAGCTTGACATGGTTTTAGACATGAGACATGAGAGCAAGTTTTTTCCTTTATTTTATAATTCACTTTGCTTAAAGATAAATACTGCTATAGGCTATTTCTTTTTAACTTTTCCATAATTTATGGTGATTATCTTTCCATTAAAAACTCATCAGTTATTTCCAACTATTTGTTATAAATACTACATCAAATTCTAATTAAGTCATTTTCATAGGTTAAATCAGTATTAAATGTAGTATAAATATTTACTATACAGAGATAGTATTGTCAGCTTCAACTAGTGGTTTTGAATTTTATTAATATGCAGCATTTTTTCAAGGCTTAACTGTGTACCCGTGATGTTTGAAAATAATGAACTCAGACAAGATGCAGATACATGGATTGTAGGAGACTTGTCTGTAAATGGGTGGTTGAATGTCAGCATGGGAAGGGAGACCTTAGCAGAAGCCTCTTTGAAATTAAAACATCAAATTTAAAATTTTGGGCAATCATCAGAGGTGGTAGGATGGTAGACAGAGTTCAGGCAGTGGATTTTTGATTGGTTTAGTGTGGTGTCTGAGAGCCCCAAGATTTAAAATAATGGTCATGGCTTAGCTTGATGATCGATCGGTTTATACCAAAGTTTCTAGCTAGACTTACTTAGAAATGTAAATGTGAATTAGATTTTTTTTAATGTAATAAAAAGCATTTCTGTGAATAGAACTAAAAAGAAAATTGTGTTCTTTTTAATAAGAGAACACATCTGGAAAAACACTGGTGAGTAGAACAATTAGGAATCTTTGTAAGTCAACTTAAGTGAAAGTGACAGGGAGTTCCAGGAACACAGAGGTCAATTGACTTGAGTCGACAGAATGAAAACAAAATAGATTACCTGTGGTTCCCAGTCTGGAGTTGTTAGACTTTAGGTGTTCTGAAATATTGTAATTGAGGTATTCAGAAAGTCAAAAAGCATATATTTGCACATAATGCTGCACAGGCTAACTAAACATCAGTCAGATTTCTTTGATTTTGCCTGGATTTATATCTATTCAGTTTGTGGACAGTAGTTATGTCTATCAAAAGCTCTTGTATGTATTTTTGATAAATAAATAAATGGAAAAATACTGAAACTACATTTTAGTAAATGTTTTTAATCAGAAAAGTTTAAACTTGTGTCCACTATAGAAAAATACTGGAAAGAGCCCTTAGTGTGAACTTAATGATATTTTTGAGACCTGGAGACCTGAAGGCAAATTCAGAATTGGAGTGGCAAGCCTTCTTAGTGAACTTATGGACTCACCTGGTTTGTAAATCCCCAGATTTCTGTATTCAGTCATAATATATATAGGTAACGGGACCATATAGTGTATCTCCTCTTTTTAGATTCTGTAACATTGTTGTGTTCTAGTGGAAATTAATTTGTTAAATGAGACATTATCTGTGCCTTTGTTCGATCATGTTTCTGATTGGTTATAAACATCTCACAGAAGTAGGGAATATGATTATTCTGAAGGTTATAAGTACATGTATAATTTATAGAAAATATATGAAGTCCAAATCATAAAGTGTTGTTACCATTTTAAAAATAATCATTAAATAGTACTATTCTTCCTTTCCACATGTTACTATAATTCTTATTTGTGTGGCTTTACTTATTTTGTACCTCCCCACTTCTCTCTTCCCTTTCTCTGCCTAATTTTCCCTTATCCTCAAAGTCCAGCTCAGTCATTACCTTCATGAAGCCTTCTGAAACCATTTTAGTCCCAATAATTATACTCTTAACATTTAAGACATTAGACAGATGAAGCACTATTTACTTTGGTTTCCATTCTTAGTATTTAATGGGCGACTTCTGTCACAAAATCTCTGTTCTGAAAGCACCTAGGATATTGCTGAACTCTTTAAAAAAAATCCATCAATTGATTTAACTCGGTAAAAGGCTAATTTAAAGTAAGTAAATTTGACTAATGCTAACAAGAGTGGGCCCAGATATTTTATGTAATGTGTCATTTTGCTCTGATTACCTGTGAATTTCTCTTGGCCTTCAATATTTGACAACTATTGAGGAGAATAAGAATGTGAAGGAGCACATGTACTTGGATTTCTGAATTGTAACAAAACAGTATTGCTTAAGTGGGATTTACATTTCTGGAAATCCTCATGCAACAAATGATGTAAACTGTAGCAAAAGGAAATTCTCACAACCAGCACCATCAGGTAGCCACAGATTCAGGAAGCTTAAGTTTCCTGAGCAGCTAACAACTTAGCAGTTGTACATGATTAGATACTTAAAATTTTATTCCTTAATAATCATATTGCATTTTTATGTTTTTTTACATTAAATATATACTGTGTACATAACACTGTCTTTAGGTGTAATAATTTGGAACAAAGGGGATTTGGTAGAAATTGTAATTTTGATAAAAACTATTGGTAATAGACTGATTTGTTCATCTTTTAAAATTATCATTTGTAGAAATTGTCCAAATAGTAAAACAGGATATGGCATTTCTGAATTGGGACAAGTTAAATAATTCAAGTAGAAAGACTTGTTTCCTTTTGATACCAATATTAAACATATTTTGATTGGCTCTGAATATCTTGAGAAGAATTATATATTACTAGGAGGGAGAAAAGTAGGAAAATAGATCTTTATAGCTAATAGCAGAATTATTCAAACTTTGAAAAGTAGATTAGTGCCTAGAAATATTTTTTAAGCGGAACGGGAAAGAAGTTTTTACTTTCACAAAATTGTTTCCTGGACCCCAAACTAATAAAACGGAGGTTGGCAAGCTTTTTCTTAGAGGTCCAGATTGAAAATATTTTAGATTTGCAAGCCCTATGGGCTCAGCCAGCCCACTATAGTTTGCCAGTTCCTTCTCTAAAGAGTAATTTACATGTGTCCTCCGAAGTGTTGTAGTTGTACCATGTTCCTTATTAACATGTAGATTGAGCCCGAAGGGCCAAAGGCACTGAGAATAGTGACTGTGGAGCCCACAGGATGCTGTCAGGTGTAGAGACGGAGTCACGCTGCCTCTATTCAGACCCTGCCCTTCCGCTTGTCTGAGGGGTGTGACCTTGGAGAAGTTTCTTAGTTTCTCCAGGTTTTTGGCTTCCTTTTCAGTGATAGGGGGCATGCTACCTGATAATGGTTAGTGTGAGCATTTCCTAAAGCCCTTCAGCAGAAGATCTGGCACATAATAAAACTCAAGAAATATTAATATAATGATATTATTATCATCTAATACTTTGAATTGTTGCATGAGTTAACAGCATATTAATGTTATTTGATGAATTTCTTCTTATTTCCTCTTGAGTCTGTTCTGGGAATTGTGATCAGTGGGAAAAATGGATTGTAGGGTTGATGTGTAGCTTATTTACAGAGTAAGCAATTTTTAGGAAACCCAATTTGGATTTTATGCTATAAACTTTGTGTATTTTTGCAACAAACATGTGCCAAGCCCTAACCTAGGTGCTGGCCATGACACCCCTAAGTGTCAAGACCTTATTCTATGTGCTAGGTATAAAAACAAACAAGGTATAGACCCTGCTCTGCTATTCATATTTAGAATACTGTTAAAAATACAGTATTTTATTTTTTTGGCCATGCCTTTTGGCTTACAGGATCTTAGTTTTCTGACCACCAAGGATCAAACCTAGGGCCATAGCAGTGACACCTCCCAAGTCCTAACTACTGGACAGCCAGGGACTTACCAAAATGTAGTATTTTAAATGTATTCACATAAAAATGAGTCATAATTTCAAGGTTTTTAAAAATAATAACCATCAACTTTTAGAGGTCTTTCAGCACTTTCAGTTTATGTCTTGGTTTTTGGAGCTATCACTGATTTTCTTGGTCTGACAGTATATTTTTTTAAAAATCCAAGAACATTGTACATGCGATATGGGACCATGAGAGCAGCAGTGTCAAACTGACAGTAACCAAGAGTTGTTTTGAGAGTGCATCATGTGTGGTTGTTTACAGTAACTACTATTGTAGACCACAGTTACTGCATTTTTAATATATATCATTTAAAAATAATGTACTGTTTCTTGAGGGAAAAATGTCTGAACTTTGGAAAATATTTATTGAATGTTTTGTTTATATAAGGATGTATCTTACGCAGGAGGCACATGTGTTTTTCTTCCTCCTTATTCAGCATGGCCTTGGCTTTAAAAGCTAGCCTAGCAGTGCTTAGAGTGAGATGTGTTGTCTAAAATAAAAGTAACCTTTTTTAGTTGTAGAGTATAGTGTAAAGAGTTTTTTTCTGTGTCTAATTCTTGTTTTCTTCCTACTTTTTTCAGGAGGTAACAGTTAATTTCAACTACCTTCACATAGCAGTGCTTCAGTAACAGAATTGGAAGGAAAGTGAGGTGTCACTAGAAAGAGGGTGTTTTTCTTGTACTTTAATAGATGTTAGAGTATTTACCGTACAGTTTGTATATACATGTAAGGAATGGATTAGGGAGGGGTGTTTAAGTTATCAATAAATAAGAAACCTGTGCCTAAGAGACCAGCACAGTTTAGAAATGTGGAATATTTTCTTACTGCTTTGGCATTTTATAAACTATAATAATGGGGATTATGTTAATTAAAGCACAGGCACATTAATGTGTAAGCCAACATGGGATTCCTTCTTTAAAAGACAACTATTTTGAGAAATCTAAACACTTGGATGAGTAGAAGCTATTATGATAAATGACTGAATAAAAATGAGCTGGGTAATTTCTTTCTGCCTGATGAAAGGCAGTGATACATGAAATGAGAGAAAAGGACATAAAAAGTTACGGGAATGATGAGGCTAGTGAGTTGACATTGCATTTCTTTTAGATTTATCAATGACCATAAAAATGTTTATTTAAAGAATATATCTAAAAGATAACTGCAGTTTTTTATATTTTGTACTATTGAATTTGGAAACAAATGTCGAAATTTCAGTTATGTTACTTGCCACTTTGATGTTCTCTTACTTGTCATGCAGAAATATCCACTAGTTTTATCCTTTGATTTATAGTAAGTCAACCAGTTTCATTATATTGGTATAGCTTAATGTATTAAACCTAAGAATCAAGGTAAAAATCCCCCTAATTGTTTGTTAATATCTCCCTTAAAGTGCTGTACTATAACACAGCTTTTCTTTTTGTATTTATTTCTTTTCTGGTGAACTTTTTTATATATGAGTCTCTGGATTATATAAACTAACATGCTTCTGGGTGAGTCTGCTAATTAAAATGTAAATGTAACATTAATCAGTGTTTCATTTTAAGAAGCTTTATGATTATATTAAAATAAAGTATTTTTGGCAATTATAAAGCTGTGAGGCTATTTGAAACTCCTTAGATTATTTTAATGAAGTTTTATTTTCATTTTTAATTTTAATTTTCCTAACTTTTTATTTTTATGACTTGGTAAAAATTGAGCCCATTGTTCTCCCAGGTAAACTATTCTTATGAAGATTAAAGAGTGACTTCATCGCAGCTTTACCTTTTTAGGGTTTCTAGTTGAGAAAATATAAGGTTCATAGAATTGTCAATTCCCAGTTGTTACTTCTCCGACATTTCTTGAGGTTGATTATCTAATAGACCATCAGTTAAAAGCGCTGTATAGAAAATGACATGTATTTTAGTTTCATTCCACAAGTGAATGCACTGCCTTAGAAGAACATGTCATTATTATTAAATGGAATGAATTTTAAGCATAAAAATGGTGATTACTTTGTACATAGGTCCAAACTGAGTTTTGTTTCTGTTTTGTTTTGTAACAACTGTATTATCTCCATATTTTAATTATGTTCTTTAATGGAAGTCATGCTTTAGTAATTAATGTACCCTTGGTTATATTCTCAGAGGCCATTTTTACTGAATGTCAGAACAGCTCATAAAAAGTGAAAATTCAGTCACACTTCTTATTTGTTGTTGTATAAAGTTAAAAAAGCACCTCAAACATTTTTTAATTAAAAAACTCTTAAATTTTAATCAAATAAGATTATGTGTGTAGGCATGTAAAATTATGAATTAATGTAAAACTTTGATTAACTTGATGCTCAAAACTAAGTTTTCAGGGATATTTATTGATTTATTTACTTTTAGGCCATGCCACATGGCATGCAGAATCTTAGTTCTCAGACCAGGGATTGAACCCGTGCCCCCTGCAATAGAAGCAGCCAGAGTCTTAACCACTAGACCACCAGGGAAGTCCGCTGCTGCTGCTGCTGCTAAGTCCCTTAAGGGATCTCTAATTTGAAGACATTAGATGTTAAGGAAAAATATTTACTTAAAATAATGATTTAATAAGTAATTAAGCTATTGTGTATTCTCCATTTAGTCTTAAGAAACTTGACGGTTGAGAATTAGATTCAGGCCTGTAAGATCTCCACTTGAAAAATCACTTTTGTTTTTCTTTCCCCCTATGTATCAAGTCAGGAACATACACTGGTTCGTATTGGCAGTTCAAAAATACGGGTGAAAGTATTTGTTTCTCAATGTTCCTATTACTCATTTAGTTAACTGTAGTTCCACCTTCCTTGAGCATTCCAGTTAGTCTAGGTTTTACTGTATGTTGATATTATATCTGGCTCATTTTATTCAGCAAACAGTCACTTACTGCATTTTCCTTTTCACTTTTTAGACTATGGTGTTTTATATTTGAGACATAATTTTACTTAGGGGAAAAGTGGAAATGTGGTACAGAGCCCAGTTATATAGTGGCTCTAAAGGTACATAACTGAGTTTCCATTTTTGTTACAAGCTATCCATTCCTCCCTAACTTACATCTGTTCCTTTCTTGTGCCCTTTGGTTTAACATTGTTCTCCTCCCCAATTTTCCTCTTCTCCTGGCTGTAAACTCATGGCAGGGTCTGCTTGGTGAGCTCATTCTCTTACAACAGCAAATTCAAGAGCATGAAGAGGAAGCACGCAGAGCTGCTGGCCAGTATAGCGCGAGCTATGCCCAACAGAAGCGCAAGGTGATGGATGGTTTAAGGGGGCTACTGATTTGTTTACACTAATCAGCCATTTCTACCAATATCATGTCACCTTAATCCATTCATGGACTACAGTTATGAGAAATTAGTTTTGATAAGATAAAAATATGAAAGATAATACAGATATGCAACTTTCTAGAGTATGCAAACAAACCCAAAATATTAAACATAGTAATTTATTTTCTGAAAATTAAATGATCTGTGAGGGTTCATGGACTTGTACTTAGGTAATTGTGAATTGCGGTTTACTTGGCCCAGTTATTGAATCACCCTAAATCTGTGGCCAACTTGTCTATTCTCTAAGTTTTCACTTCTAAAATTAAAAGGGTTACTGTGAATGACCATGTTAAATTAAAGAATGAAATGGTTTTGTTTTAGTTAAAATGATTCAGCAGAGAATTCTTGTTTCCTACAAAAGAAAACTATTTTGACCTAACTTTTGGACAGTTATTCTTAAATACTTTGATAAACTTATAATAAAACTTTTGACATTTATTAACAAAGTCAGCACAGATTTTCACCTTGTCCACTGAAAAATTGAACATTGGAAATTTGATATAATTCTGGCCACTAAAGGACAGATTCTAATAAAACTCAGTGTAACACTGTACAAATATTTGCTTATAGGTGTCACCAAAAAATCCTTAAAAATAATGCTTTTGGCTTTAGATGATCCTATACTGTAGATCCCCAGGTTAATGTCCTGAAGAGACTAGAGTCAAATGAAGTGTTTAAAATGATTTTAAAAATGTTATTGTAAGATCTTGACATTGGCTACTTACATATATTAGAAAAGTTTTACCAGTTAGGTATATATCTTAGGAAAAATGATCCAGTCATATAATTAGCTTCCTGTACATTCTGATATTGAAATCAACCAATATTACAGATAATTAGTGAGATGATCCTGCTGGCTAACCCTATCGCATTTGGTGGTGGTCAGTACTTGAGAGTTCTAATCGTAGTTTGTTTTTTCAGTGTCGCTTCCTGGCTTTTCTCAATTCCATGGCTGTGAAATCAACTGCTATATGTCATTTAGCTTTCAGTAAATGAATAATATAGGTGGAAATAGAAAACAAATTATTTTCCTGCTTGTGTTAAATCACAGTAGGACTTAGTATAAATGGTGTTTAGCGTTCTCTATTCTCATGCTGTTCAGAGTACCACTTAAATATACTAACAAGTTGGATGCTCAGGCTAAGCATCTGTCCTTTAGCTTCATTATAAACAAGAGGGAAAGGAACTGTTATGTTTTGGTGTGTTAGAAATATGAATATAGCTCCTGTTTTCAAGACCAGTAGATCTTGTTTTTTTCTTAATGGTAAAAAAATTTACAGTGAGCCCCATAGATCTGCTATTTTAAGATTCTAAGATACCGTTTAAGATTATTAATATCCTGTTGAATCTGACAGTTTAAATGAAAGCAATAGTGAATACTGTTTATTTTTACGCTGCCAAGGGCCTTTTTTCAGACCTGGAGTTATCCTTCCTCTTCCTAATATTTATTGGATTATCCATGTATAACCCTTTTATTCCTCACTCTCCATATTTGTGAAAGAGCTACTGACAGGGCTGTACCTCTGTCTATTTTGTTTATTAAGATGTACTTAGAAGGGCACAGAACGGGGCTTGTTCCTGCCCACTTACCTTGTGTGAAAGTAAATGTGCACCTCTATAACAGTATCATTCTTTTACTGTCCTTAAAGATGATTTCCTTACTGTATCTTCCCTCCATTCCCCTTATAGTTAGTACACTGGTGACTTCAGCCTTACATTGTCATAATGACCAAAGTGCTAATTTGATGAGGCTTTTATCTTTCCAGGCATTTGAGGTTTACTTGAGGTACAAAACCACAGCAACTTTTTGTCATTTTTTGATGATTCTTTCCTACTACATTTTGAAAATATTAGTAGGCCTTCTTTTTTTTTGTTTTTTTAATGCTTTCTGGGTTTTTTTTTTTTTGTAATACTGCACAGCATGTGAGATCTTAGCTCCCTGACCAGGGATCAAGCCCACACCCTCTCCAAGGATCTTAACCACTGGACCTCCAGGGAAGTCCCTATTTTTATCTTATTGGTAGCAGCTAGTAGATTTTCCCTGTATTATTCAAGCAGAAGCGCTCATGCAGAGGTAGTAGATTAAAACTGCCATTGGTAGATTTGCCTCCTGTAAATGTGTATGTACACATACATAGAAATTTTTGCAAGTCTTATACATTTCCGTATTTCAGAATGGCTACAATTGCTTAGGAGGAAGAAATACTTAAAATTTAAAAATCAGGCTTGCTTTTGTTAGGAACTAGTAAAGGTTTTTCTCTTTCAGCTTTAGCTTGTTTCTGCAGAGGGTTCCACTCTTTCTCCATCAGTTTTACAGCCCTGGAATTGTAGGAAAGCTCTGGTTTCAAGACTATTGATACCCATTTTTGTCAGGGTGAGTTTTGAACTAATTTCATAATGAAAACTAAATATATTAAACAACAAGACAAGGACTTACTGTAAGTAGCTTAAGTTTACTAGTAAAGTGCATCAAAATAAAATATATCCCAGGTTGCTAGTTAAGACCTCAGATAAATGATAGACTAACAATAGCATGTATTATTCTCTTAAAATACATTAAAGTGTCTTATCACTAATCTTTAAGATTTATTTTGTGAACCTGAAGGTTTTAATCTTGTTTCCTATAAAATCCTAGATTTAATTCTTGACACTTATCATCAACCTGTCTTTTATATAATATAGTATTAATCTTTTAATTTAACGTTAAGCAGATAGGAATGGTATTGGTGAAACTATGCATGAGTTATTCCTAACAGTCACGCCAGAAGGGCACATGATAAATTTAAATACTTCAAAAATACAAATTTATAAAAATCCTAAGTCATTGTTACTAAATACTAATATTAGCATAAAAATTGTGTTTGTAATATTCTAATAACCTTACATCATTTTAACTCTTTATGTATCTGTTTTATTTTACCACATTGTCAAGGCTAGTCCTCTATAGTCCTTGGCTTGTGCAAACATTCTGTTTTATGTAATTATATTGCTTTTTAAATTATTGCTGCAGTTGTAGAGATATGTTGGATATTCTACTGTAACTTAGATTATATTGCATGATATCATTAAATATTCACATCTTGTACTAATACTGTTTATACATTTCATACTACTTTAACTTCAGTTGGATGAATATTTAATGGAACAGAGTAAATCAGAGTAACTTTCCAGATGAATTGGGAATATAATCTACATAACAAAATTTTTATGATCACATTGGTGTGTGATATCATGTGTATGATCACATTATGAGTGTGATATCATGCCATATGATCAAAATATGGAATTTATTTCTTCATTGGCCTTCAGGATTTTGTTCCTTGGGTTGTGGGCTCCTCAACACGCTTGTTTTCTCATGTTTTAGGAGATGATTAATAATTCTTGTCCATTTTACACAAACACAGTCAAATGAAAAATGCTTCTGTCCAGAAGCTGCTGCTTGCCCCACAGGAGTGGGAAGCAGTGATACAAAGTTTGTTTTATGTCGCATTTTTCTAATTCACAAAATTTGAAATTTTTAGACAAAGACTTTTTAGGAAAAAGCAATTATGGATTATGTACCTATTATTTCTAGCAAGTATCGTCATTTTTATTTAAAAGAAGTTCGGGGGAATTTTGAGAAAGCATTTGGAAATAGGAATTAAAATCTCAAAAATAACATTTTATTGCATGGATAAGAATTATTAACGTCCACTTCAATAAGCAAATCATTTAGAATATTTTCATATGTGTTTGCTACCGTGAGGTCTTGGCTGCTTAAGTAGCCAGTGAAATCAGGATGAATAAAGATTTACTTGAGTTTTAACTTGATTTTTGTCTCCTGTAATAAAATCATGTTTAAAAATTTTGAGTACAGAAATTAGATAATTATTTTGAGATTGAGAATGGCAGCTTCGGCATCTCCCTAAGGAGTCAAAGCAGTTGTGTGGGTCTGTCCTAAGTGACATCATTTAACTGCAGTTAGTTATTGTGTTTTATATTTAGAATTGTGATTATTTTACAGCCTGGTGTAGAATAAAGTTCTTTATTTTGAATATCTTATCTTAGAACTATTAGCATTAGTAATAATTAGGAGTCATTTCCCCAATACCTGTGGATTTTATTCTACTTTTGTTTTATTTTCAAATCAATTTTGTTTGCTTTACTCAACTTCATTGCCTCTGATGCATTCGCTTTATTATGGGTTAGAAGATCTTGCAGTGGAACTAAATTTAAAAACAAGCATCTGGCTCCACTTAAAGCTCTGAAAATGCACTTGTTCTTTGCACATATTAAACACTTTCCTACTTATGGGATAGAAATGGATAAGTGTTTTCTTAAAAGATACACTATGACCAATGAATTTTTTCAGTAGCTGTACATTATAACGCGTCTGACTTCAAAAACATTTTTGTAAGGATTTCAGTGCTTTATTTCTCAGGCATCCAAGTCCCTGTGCTTGAGTACAAAACAGCCTGTCAAGAACATAGTAAATGTATGTGTTGATCTCTTATTTTTCTAACAAGCCAGTCATAAGAAATGACTACAACGGCAATAGGAAGATGATCTCTTTTTAAGGTTTTCATTTATATAAACTTTTCAAGAGCTGTTTTTGTTGATGAATAAGGTTACTTTCTTAAATAAGCATTTGATTTAAAATTTCCTTTGATTAAATATCCATATAAAGTCTATAGTTTTTACTCTTAAAAATGGTTTCTTTAAAAAGTTAACTTACTGTGTATTCTATATAAATCTAATTCTACTCAAATAAAAAAAAAATATTTTAAATATTTAGGTGTCAGACAAAGAGAAAATTGACCAGCTTCAAGAAGAGCTTCTGCATACTCAGGTAATACTAATGTAATTCATAGTCAGGTAAAAAGAACCAAAGAGTTTGTCTTGTACTCTAAATTTGGTGATGTGGAAGTTTATCTGAGCAGAGTTTGTAGTGATTTAATAATAGAAACTTATTACTCTCATCAATAGATGCCCCCACAAATGCAAAAGCTAATTGAGAAATAAGGAATAATGAAGGAACTTGATAAGTTTAATTAACTCATTTATGTGTAAAACCTATTGTTGAGTGAATCTTATGCTTTTCATTTTAGAGGAAGACTGTGGCAGAAAAGACGGGGGAAAGTGACTTGTCCTTGTATAAACCTGTGCTTGCCTTTTTACATTGATTGGCTAATTCGAGTAACAGTTAAAAGAAATTGAAGTGGAGTTCTATCACAATTCTCTAATGTCCAAAGCCAATCAGATAATAATCTTTCTAAAGGTATTAATATTTCTGACACTACTTTAAAGAGTTACTCTCTTATAGTTGACGATACAATTATTATTTTAAAGAATTGTTCTGTGCAATGTAATTGAGTAGGGAACATTCTCGTGAAAAATTGCCACATTATCCACTCTTATCATTAATTATTCTCTATAGATCCAATGATATGTGGTAATTAAGTTTAAATTAAAAAGACTCATCGGGTCTCTTTTTAGGGAAAAGTACAGCAAAGCAATTTAAATAAAATTAGGAACCAGTGTATGTTGAGTCTCAGGTTTTCTGCATATCTGTGTATTGGTTCTTATACTCAACAGTATGTTAGAATCAAGTGTGCTCTGAGCAGCCCTAACATTGTTACGATTACAGTCTGCAGCTAGAGATTAAGAATCACTGGCCTCAGAATGTGATCTCTGGAGCATTAGCATCAGTGATACTCTTTGGGAACTTGTTGGAAATGCAGATTATTGGTCCCATCCCAAATGCACTGAATTGGAAACTCTGGATATGGAACTGAGCAGTCATTGTTCTTAAAAACCGTCAAGTGATGCTGCTAAGTTCTTAAGTTTGAGAATTACTGGCCTAGAACTTTGCAGGATGGCCCAGTAGCACATCTCTGCAGGAAGCCTGCAGACTGATGTATACTAAAGAGTGTTTCCAGCACCAGAAAATGTAGACCCCATAATTGATTCTGTATTTACCAAGTGAACCAGTAGAAGTCCTACCACTGTTGTATATACCTGTTGATATCAATTCTTCCATTTGTTGGAGGCTGGTAGGCATTGTTGAAAGTACTTTATGGAGAATTCATGATATAATAATGGCATTATGTATATTAATAGTGTCCAGTTGAAATAAAATGCAAGCCATGTGTACTTTAAAATTTTTGCATTAAAATAAGGGTAAAAAGAAATAGGTAGAATTTTCGTGTTAATAATATATTTAACAAAGTAGATCTAAAATAGTTATATATCTAGTTAGTATAAAAATATTAATGTGGTATTTATGTATTTTATAGAAGTCTGATGTATGTTTTCTTCTTAACACACACCTTAGTGCAGACTAGCCACATTTCAAGTGCTCAGTATCCGTATGTGGCCAGTGGCTGCCGTCTGTATTAGATAGCATAGGTCTAATTCTTAGATAACTGCCAGAAGTTTGTTGTGTGTATTGTTACTGAATAGAAATGAACAAGTTCTGTAAAAATATGTTTATAATATAAACTAGCCTATAGTTCTACCTGTCTCATACTATATAATTTCTTAAATTTATCTTAAATTGGACATTCTCTGAGGATAAAGCCATGATCTCTTGTTATTTACTTTGTGCTTGGAAGATTGTAACAGCCCAACATGTTTTCCAAGAAATATTTTCCATCTCCTTCTTTCCATTAACAAAAGACATGTTACTGTAAAATTGGACAAAAACATCCAGTTGGTGGGATGGGGAGGGAGGTTGTGGAGGGAGGGAATGTGTGTATACCGATGACTGATTCATGTTGATGAATGGCAGGAACCAACACAGTATTATAAAGTAATTGTCCTCCAATTGAAAATAAAATTTTAAAAAATCTACTTGGTTGTAAGAAAGAGTAATTCTTAATAATTTTCTGAACAGGATTAATTTTTATAGAAGAAATAATCATGTATAAACAGAAAAACCAGTTATAAAAGGATCACATTTATTGGAGAACAGTGTGTAGCCAAGCATCTAATTTGACAAAAAAGCCTATATAAACGTGTTAGTCTTTTAAATTGTTCTTATGTCAGTATTTTAAAAATTAATGTGTAATCTCTGACCATAGAAACTTACCAAAACTTAGAAGAGTTTGAGCCCTCAACTCAGACCTATATTCAGAACTCTGTGACCTTGGATAAGCTCCTAAGCATCTCTAACCTCTGATTCCTAACCTGTATAACCTTTGCCTAACGTGAAGCCTTAAAGAAGCTAATACAGGTGAAGCACTGAGTAAAAGGCCTGTCATGTAACTCGTGGTCAGATACCGTTAGCTATTTTTATTTTATACCATTGTAATAAAATAATATAGAGGCATAAGGAAAATTTGAATTTTTGTCAAATGTGCCTTAACTGAAGATTTAAAATTTTGATGCAGGAAATAGTGCTTCATAGAGATACTTAAGAGCTTGCCTTTTAAACTCCTTTTATTTTTAGTATTTTTATTAATTTCTTCAACATAAACAGCAAAGAATTTTCCAATAAGATGCCAATTATAACAGAAAACTATGAAGTTCATTGTTTGAGATAATATTCATCATTATTTTGTTCAACGTTTTCATAGTTGACTTTTAAATGAAATAATTCATTTTAAGTCCTTCAGGATCAAGGAATATTTTAATTTATACTTAATGTTATTTTTTAACTGATGGTTTCTTATGAAGTTACTTGTATTACTGTGTTGCAGTTAAAGTACCAGAGAATCTTGGAACGGCTAGAAAAGGAGAACAAAGAATTGAGAAAATTAGTATTACAGAAAGATGACAAAGGCATCCATCATAGAAAGCTTAAGGTATTTTAAGTGTGTGTTAACTTGTTATCTCTCAAAACTCTGCCACTTCACATTGTGTGTTCATCAATATCAGTTTTTAAGGAACTGCAAAGGGTTCTATCGTCTTTTTCTTTCCAATCTTGTGTTCTTAGGGAAAAGGGAGGTCTCCTCTTTTGTTAAGACTTCGTAAATTATAATCTCCAAACATTTGTTTTTTTACTAGATCCATAAATTCTTCATACTTGTGAATCAATGAATCAATTTATTTTTTTCTGAAATATTGAAACTTCCCCAGTGGCTCAAATGGTAAAGAATCTGCCTGCAATGCAGGAGACCTGGGTTCAATCCCTGGGTGGGGAAGATCCCCTGGAGAAGGGAATGGCAACCCACTCCAGTATTCTTGCCTGGAGAACTCCATGGAGAGAGGAGCCTGGCAGTCCATGGGGTTGCAAAGAACTGGACACGACTGAGTGACCAACACTTTATTCCTAGGTTTGCTTCATTTCTGCAGCTGTAAAATCAGTAAGTTAATAGAAAATTACATATGTCCTATCTTTATTACCTTACTTGTAAATGCCACTGAATGAAGAGGCCACTTTCTTCAGTTTTACAATAGTTAACATTTTCTTCTGGAAGGTTCCTTGGGCATTTTAAAGAATTTTTGAAAAAACATGCAGGTATTGTTATCAGCATATTGATAATTACCATTATCAGTAAATTCAATATTATTATTACCCACTAAACCAACCTGTATGTGCTACATTAAGTTGAAGTAATTCTTTTAACTTAAATGTCATATAAGTAAACAGAATGTATATGTAGCAAAACTGCAATAAATCATGACACATGCATTTTATGGCCACGGTCCAAAGATATACAGTTCTGGTTTAACCAACATGTATTAGTAGTTCTGACTCCAAATTGCAACTGCATAATATCAGCATGACTTTATTTATAAGCCAGTATGTGGCAGTTAGAAAAGCCACATCCAAATGTTAATAAATATTGAGAATTTACCTGAGAAATTGTATTTTCTCTCATTAAGTGAAATAGTAATGAAGATTTGAAAAGTTTGTTGTTTAGGTCAAAGGGATAATAGTTGCTTTCCTTTTAATTTTAGGTGTTAAAAGAGATGAAAGGAACTTCAGGCCCTCATTTTGTTCCTACTTGGGTATTAAAACTTACCTTTAATTATTAAATGCCTGGCCTGTTTATATGTTCAGTCATTCCTCAAATACTTGAAGCTTGTTATTTTCCAGAAAACATGTTTGACCCTGGTTTTACCGAGAGAACAGTACAGGATGTCTGCTCCTGGTGCTCTCACGTTTTAGTCTGCCCAGTTATCAGTATACACTACTCCTCCTTACTGATTTAACAGGAATTTTGGTGATTCTTTCTCTACTTTACCCTTTCTTCAGTGTCTCTCTCCCTCTCTGACACATACACCAAACATTCCTTTCAGTTGGTACCTGGCTTATTGGACCTTTTTAGTGTTAATGGTCTTTCTTTGTTGGGCATTTAATATTAGCTCTTCAGTATTTTTTTTTTAATATTTATTTAGTTTTAGCATGTGGGGTCCTTAGTTTCTCTTAAGTTGCAGCATGAAGGATATTTAGTTGTAGTGTGCAAATTCTTAGTTGTGGTCATGTGGGACTTAGTTCCCTGCTCAGCGATCAAACCGGGGCACCCAGCATTGGGAGCTGGGAGTGTTAGCCACTGGACCACCAGGGAAGTCCCTAGGTCTTCAGTATTAAACAATAACCTCCCTCTTTTAATGTTTAATTGGAAGATTAGGAAATCCTAAATTAACATATTGTGTTAAATCAGTGTCTCTTGAAATAGATTGGATAAGAAAGTATGGAATTTTATTCTGTACTGTTTTACATTTACTCAGAATACAATTATGAGAACTCCTTGAATTTATCAGCTTTTTTATCCTGACACATCTGTGGGTTTTTGAAAATGTTTTCTGTATTTTATAATATTGATTTTTTAATTTTATAGAAATCTTTGATTGATATGTATTCTGAAGTTCTTGATGTTCTGTCTGATTATGATGCCAGTTATAATACACAAGATCATCTGCCAAGGGTAAGTGAAAAATTAGTACACAGTGAAATTGCCCATTAGCAAAAAAGCATGTTAGTTTTTTAAAAAGTTATGTGTGTGTATACATAGGCAGAGACATAAAATTTTCTCTATAATATTCATGTGTTCTAGGTGATGTCTCAAGCATTGAATGTTGTTTGACTATTTTGGTCCATTAGTTTACTTATATTTATGCATAATGAAGGAAGGCTTTCAGATATTTGGCATTATATGTTAATGATGTCCATGATATTAAAATTCCTGAATGGTAAATAAAATTAGGTACATAGGAGAAATATAACCTCACAGAATTGAAAATGTCTTTGTAAAGAGTAAATTAGCTGTGGAAGAGATTTATGCAATATTAATGTTAATCTGGTTTTAAAACTAGTGGTTTAAATTAGTAATAAAAATTTGGCTATAAATAATGGACCCAATTAATGTTTTGCTGTTTATTTTCAGTACACATCCATGTATAAACTATCATTTTTTTGGTGGATATTTTAAAATCATTTAACTGGACAGTTTTTAAAGACTAATTCTCAGCAGCATTCCGAATGTATTAAATTTAAAGTTGTATCAAAAAATATGAATATGTGGTATTTATTTTGTGGTAAGGTTGTTGTGGTTGGAGATCAAAGTGCTGGAAAAACTAGTGTGTTGGAAATGATTGCTCAGGCACGAATATTTCCTAGAGGATCTGGGGAGATGATGACACGTTCTCCAGTTAAGGTAAGAAAATAGGCTCTCTGGGTTAGTAGACTTACTATGGTGATCATTTTCTAATGTATTTAAATGTTGAATCACTAAAGAAAAACATAGGCCAAATGAAGTTCTTCAGGGAAGTGATCACTTTAACAAAGTTTGTCCATTGTGTTGAAATGAAGAATTTTGACCAAAAAAATAACTGATATGTAGCATTTGGAATTATTCCTAGTGTAGGAATTAGTAGAAGTCACCCCTCAGACAAAGGACAAAGATCAGGAGTTTGGGGCTTGCCTGTGGGATGTTAACAAAGCAGCAGCTGGATATGGAAGTTTGGAGGGTGGTCTGGACTAGAGATAGAAATGGAGGAGTCATAATCAAACATCTAAAAGTGGTAGTTAACTCCCTAATGGCTAAGATTGCCTAGGGAGTGAATGGAGACAGAGAAGACCTACAACCTCTGACACATTTAACTCTCAATAAGTAGATGTTAAAGAAATGAATTGTTACCTAACTTTACCGTTGATGTGAAATGCAAAATTTCCTTTTAGTTTTTCAAGTTTTGTTTGAGATTGATGGTTTTGTGCTTGGTACTCTCTATAACATTGACTGGGAAATGGAACCATGTAAGTACTGTGGGAATTAATAGAAATTGTAAATACAGTCTTCTCAATTTTCTGTTAATTTCAGGTGACTCTCAGTGAAGGCCCTCATCATGTGGCCTTATTTAAAGATAGTTCTCGGGAGTTTGATCTTGCTAAAGAGGAAGATGTAAGTAGATTTCGTATGAGGTTTGTATGTGTAATTTTTTATAATCTGTGTAAACATAAAAGACAACTAAATGGTATATTTAACTGACAATTTTCTTAGGATTTTGTTGTTTTCCCATTGATAGCTTGCAGCATTAAGACATGAAATAGAACTCCGAATGCGGAAAAATGTGAAAGAAGGCTGTACTGTCAGTCCAGAGGTAAGTGCTGCAGTTCATGTCAGTCGTGTTCTGTGGAGATCCAGTGTTTTATGATTTGAAATCATAGAGCATTGATATTTAGATTGAAGTAATTCAAAGATACACAGTCTTTTTTTTAATATTCCAAAGAATGTATCATTTTGTGGAAAAGTTTTATGAAATAATTACTCCCATAACTTTTTTCTGAACCACATATCTAAATGAATGAGATAAAGAATTTTCAGGATGTGTGTCAACAAAAAAATTCCTAACAAGCTGCCTCTCAAAAGTTTTTTGGCTTTTGGATTTTTTTTTTCCCTGAACAGACCATATCCTTAAATGTAAAAGGTCCTGGACTACAGAGGATGGTGCTTGTTGACCTACCAGGTGTGATTAATGTAAGTGTATACAAAGCACGTATCTTATCTTATTCTGTTGTGGCAGACATTTATAATGACCTTTAAAACCTTTTTCTTCAAGACTGTGACATCAGGCATGGCTCCCGACACAAAGGAAACTATTTTCAGTATCAGCAAAGCTTACATGCAGAACCCTAATGCCATCATACTATGTATTCAAGGTAAATCTTATTGAAAGATTTTAATTGCACTAATAGTCTTCCTTATTTAGCAATCAAGGTTTGTTTTACACATGTGTTACATAAACACGGGCTTCCCTGGTGGCTCAGATGGTGAAGTGTCTGCCTGCAATGTGGAAGACCCAGGTTTGATCCCTGAGTTGGGAAGATTCCCTGGAGAAGGAAATGGCAACCCACTCCAGTTCTCTTGCCTGGAAAATCCTGTGGATGGAGGAGCCTGGTAGGCTACAATCCATGGGGTCACAAAGAGTCGGGTGCAACTGAGCGACTTCACTTTACATAAACATATAAAATAGATGTTTTATTTTGTCCTCTTGTTCATTTTATTAGTAAGTAGAATTGACGTTGGGAATATGTTTGATGAATTTCACTGTGTAGGCATCATAGAAATTCTTATTGGCTAGAATTTCTTTTCACAACTAAGATAAAATATTAAGGAAACATGATCTTACTATAGTGTAGACACAAGATGACACAGTTGTAGCTTCTTGAAGTTTTAAAAACCCACTCTGTAACCATTACTGTGTCATTTTTCAATGTATTTTCAGATGGATCTGTGGATGCTGAGCGCAGCATTGTTACAGACTTGGTCAGTCAAATGGACCCTCATGGAAGAAGGACGATATTCGTCTTGACCAAAGTAGACTTGGCGGAGAAGAACGTGGCCAGCCCCAGCAGGGTGAGGGCAGGCTCTTAAAGCAAAGCATTAGCTCCGACAGAAACTGACGGGGGGACGTCTCCTGGTGAAGTACAAGTAGTAATGGGGTTTTTCTTGGTTTTCATTTAAAAAAAGCAAAGTATTGTAAAGTTATAGTAAATGGCGTAAGTGCAGAATTGAGATTTAAGTTTAATTTTACAGTTATAACTATAGTTTGATTCAAATTCTTAAAACTAATGTTGCTTACTCTAAATTTTGCAGGCTGACATAGTCATGAACCTCATTGCAGTATTTTTTAACAAATTAGTGTAAAACTAGTGACAGTTTAGATTCCTTTTGGACATTACTTATGTTATTCTTTGTTTTAAATTTTTTTATTTTTTTATTCAGATAAATATTACCTTTCTTAACTGATTAAAGAACGTGTGGCAGATTTTCATAATAGAGAAGGCATTGGATGGGGTGTCCAGGCTCAGCATTCTTATCCATGCTCTACCAACAGATGGCTACATGTCCTTGGGCAAATCTTGTTAATTTGTTCTGCATCCAGACAGTGCACAATCCAGTCTATTAGGCTAGTTTATCTCTAGGGTCACTTTCATTTCTTATATTCTTGTGGCTTCTATATGAGCTTCCCAGGTGGCTCAGTGATGAAGAATCCACCTGCTAATGCAGGAGACACGGGTTCAATTCCTGGGTTGGGAAGATCCCCTGAAGAAGGATTCTTGCCTGGGAAATTCCATTGTCAGAGGAGCCTGGTGGGCTACAGTCCATGAGGTTGCAGAGTCAGACAACTTAGCCACTGAGCATACACGCAAACACACACACATGACATCTATACATGGTGTTCTGTGTCCATTTTCTCCTCCTCCCTTAACAAGGAAAGAATTTTGTTTCAAAGTACCATTGTGTCCAAGTTTTACTAGGGTGTGCTCTCTTCTTAATTGTGAAGGAAATGGCAACCCACTCCAGTATTCTTGCCTGGAAAATCCCATGGACAGAGGAGCCTGGTAGGCTACAGTCCATGGGGTCGCAGAGTCGGACACAACTGAGCAACTTCACTTTCACTTTAATATAAAAGTGGGTGAAAGTGTGCAAACTAAGCCAGATTGCTTAGTTTCTCATCTGCTCTGCTGTTGCTATGTAATATCGGGTAAGTTATTTCACTTTTTCAGTGCTTTAGGCTATTAGAAATGAAAATATTAATGGTACTAAAATTCTGCAGCACAGCAGATCTGAGTTCCATCCCTGGGTTGGGATGATCCCCTGGAGAAGGGAATGGCAACCCACTCTAATATTCTTGCCTGGAGAATCCCATGAACAGAGGAGCCTGGCAGGCTGCAGTCCATGGGTTCATAGAGAGTCTGACACACATGTGCAGCTAAGCAGAAGCACATCTCTTAGGTGATGAAGATTTATTGAGTTAAATGTTTGTTGTAAAGTGGTTGAGCTTAGCATGAAAGTGTTACATAAATTGTGGCTATCATCCATTGTTATTATTATAACTTCATCCCCCATAGAACAACAGCTTGAAATATAAGTAGCCATCCCTGTGCTTCTGTTTAGAATTTCTCTCTTTCTCACAAATCTAAAAATTTGTGGGACTATGCCTCTGTGGTACAGATTCCCAAGAGAGACCACCCCTAGGTTCACTGATTGTCTGGAAGGACTCATAGGACTCAGTGCATAGTCATACTTATACCGAAGAAAAAGATGCAAGAGATGATGTCTAAAGGAAACCAAGCTCAAGTTTCCAAGAGTCCTTTCCCAGTAGAGTCACACAGGAAATGCTCAAGCCGCCAGCAACGAGGTACTAACTAGAGACTCAGCACCTAAGGTTTTTACTGGGGGCTGGTCACATAGGCACCCACAAGTACCAAAATTCCAGACGCCCAAAGGAAAGCAGATGTTCAGCATAAACCACATTGATTGCACAATAAGCCACTGTTATTTAGGGAAAGTTCTGTATCAATGTAGGGGATTGTTTACCAGTTAAGTTCACAGATGCCAGCCAAGGACAAGCAGGCCTTTCTGAGGACAGCAGTCTCAAGCCTGCTGTGTTAACTCTGCAGTCTCCATGACCTTAGCTTTGCCCTATTTTCAAGGGGAAGGCCTGCCATGGCAGCATTTGTCCTGATACGGAGAAGTGGGAGAGTGAGGTGGAAGCAAACTTCTGTGTTTCCTTCCCACTTCCCATCTTTTCTTTCATTTTCTTCTCTTCTTTAGGGTAATGAGCTTGTATTTTCTTTAAATACAGTTGAAGCTTGTATCACTTTTCTTTTTACACTGAAGATTTAGCGTTAGCTTAAGAATGTTACTTATCTTAGAGGAGGGATTCTTACCTCAATATTTATCTGAATGAGCTTCTGGAAGTAGGAATTCTTTTATATTGTGTGTGAATGATAGATCTCTGCAAATGTGTATTTTTCTGGGGACAGAGTCTGTAGTTTTTATTACTTTTAGAAAAGGAGTTTTGACCCAAAAGAGTTAACAACAGTGGATCCAAATTTTTTTTTTCAGAGTTAATTAAAAAAGACCATCCAACTTTGTTAGAATTTAGATATTGGGGAAATAATAATAGTAGCTACTGTTTACTGATTGCGCCTGCGTGCCTGGCACTATGTTAAATATCATATACTCTTCTCAGCTACCATTTTGAAAAGTTAAGTAACTTACTTAAGGCCACATACCTAGTAAGTGACAGAGCAGAAATTCAAAATAAGGCCTGACTCTAAGTCACTGTACATCATTCCAAATTCTAATTTTGGTACTTATGTTTTAATAAGACATTTTTGATATAACAAAATTAAATGTGTTTTATTTTTTCCTCAAATAACATTTGAAATACATTTCAGCACTTGTACAGACATACATTAACCTAAACATATACAAATACAGCATTGTTAAATTTGCCTTCTAAATAGCATATTATGCTTTAAAATTATGTAAACTCACCTGTCATGTTTCTTTTTTACCACTTTTAAAAATAGATTCAGCAGATAATTGAAGGAAAACTCTTCCCAATGAAAGCTCTAGGTTATTTTGCTGTTGTAACAGGAAAAGGTATGCAAAGATGGATTATTACAGTTTTTTGTTGTTTTCAAGTAATAAAAATGAACTTAGAACTTTACTACCGTCTTTCCCTAGGAAACAGCTCTGAAAGCATTGAAGCTATAAGGGACTATGAAGAAGAATTTTTTCAGAATTCAAAACTCCTAAAGTAAGTATCTTGTTGAAATCTTTAAAGAATTTATAGTGAGGGAGTAACTTCAGCTGTTTTCAATTTAAAAGTTTTCTTATAACTGTCAGTTTAACATTGACTTTCCAGAGATGAATTCTCGAATAGTGATCTGTATCTAGTAAGCAAGTCTTCAGACTACTGTGACAAAGTTGGGAGCAATTTATCACATAGTACAAAACTGTGTCATAATCAACTGCCCCTTGGTATATGGGCACTGGAGACAACACCGATACCTCTTAAGTTGTTTTACTTACAAGGTGATTTTTAAAAAAATCAACACTTAGATTTTTAAATACTTGTCCAGATTTCTCTTAGAGTATTGGGGAAAGTTGGAGTGAGAGGTGGCAGTGTCAAAGGGGTATCCTTAAAGAGATACTGACAAATGTTAACAGAAAATAAGATACTAACAGAAAAGCAAAAAGGAGATGCTAAAGAGCAACTGAATTTTAAAACATTGTAACATGTAGAGAGTCTTGAGCTGAAAGAATGAATGTATTTGCCTCTATATTAGTAATGTAAGTCAAGGTAGTCTTTTCACCCATTGTCTTGAGAATTATCTTTTGGGAAGCCCCGCATGCCAAGCAGGAAACGTGGGTTTAATCCCTGGGTCAGGAAGAGTCCCTGGAGAAGGAAATGGCAACCCACTCTAGTATTCTTGCCTGGAGAATTTGATGGACAGAGGAGCCTGGTGGGCTCCAGTACATGAAGTCTCAAAGAGTTGGACACGACTTAACGACTAAACAGCGGCAAGAACTAAGCTCTTCGGTACTAACAGTAGTCACTAACCTGTGTGCTTGTTTGAATTCAGATCAGTTAGCACTAAAGAAAACTGGAGTTTCTCAGTCACACTAGCCACACATTTCAAGGTGTCATTAACCCCACGTGACTAGTAGCTGCACAGATACAGATTACTTTATTTATCATGGAATGTTCATTGGACAGCCCTAGTATAAAGTAATTAAGTGGCTGTTCTCATAATATACTTTGGTTATTGTTTTGTAGGACAAGCATGCTAAAGGCACACCAGGTGACTACAAGAAATCTAAGCCTTGCTGTATCAGACTGCTTTTGGAAAATGGTACGAGAGTCAGTTGAACAACAGGCCGATAGTTTCAAAGGTACTTTGGGTTTTTAAAATAAGCTCTCAAATTTATGTATTTTATTACCTGACAGACTTAGGCATCCATCAGATTCTTGACTTCCTTTAACAACTGCTTTTTGTTCATTTATTATAAGGTAGTATGTGGGAAATGGAAAAATACCAATCTTCAGTTGTATAGAGCAGGATTTTTCCTTTTGGAGGAACAGTTGCTGGGAGCACATTACAAAGTTTAACAAAAAGTTTGCAGTAATGTTTGAGAGAAAGAGCCTAGAAAACTGTACAGAACTCAGATTCCGCCTTGTTAGAAGAATGAGAGGAAATGTGTTGGGTGGCAGAGCAGCCAGTGTACTTTCAGATATATTGTACTGGTTTCTGAATCCCAGGCCTTCCTTTTCCATGGCTTTGCTTGCTTCCATAGTTTCATTTGGCCAGAGTATACTTTCCTTCCATTTTTCTCATTAGGAAATCCTACCTATTTATCCCACTAGTCCCTCAGCAATCTTGTATTATTCTCATTTTACCAAAGAGCAGACTAAGGCAGAGAATAACTTGCCTAAGTAATAACGTACCCAGCATCACACAGTAATAGATAATAGACCTGGGGTTTGAATGGAGTTCAAAATCAGAATTGAGTTGGTGGCTTGACTTCAGAGTCCCATGCTCTTAGCAACTGTACTAAATTGTGTCATCTGTATGATTTGTGGATTGAAAATGGAAAAACTAAAGTCAAAAGGATTATTTTGGAAAACTGTTGCAGTAATGCAGATTCTGAGATATTGAGACAGAGAAGGACATGGCAACCCACTCCAGTATTCTTGCCTAGAGAATTCCGTGGATAGAGGAGCCTGGTGGACTGCTGTCCATGGGGTCACACAGAGTCGGACACGACTGAAGCAACTTAGTATGCATGCATGCGTGCATTGGAGAAGGAAATGGCAACCTACTCCAGTATTCTTGCCTGGAGAATCCCAGGGATAGAGGAGCCTGGTGGGCTGCCATCTGTGGGGTCGCACAGTCGGACATGACTAAAGCGACTTAGCAGCAGCAGCAGATATAGAGAGCCCAGATTTCTCAGGAGCTATCAGTGCACATTCAGAAATTCAGTTAATATACCAGATATGTGAGATAGCCTTTAACCAATGTGTCTGGAACAAAGGAGAATCCTCAAACCTGAACATCTTTCCTTCTTCCTCAGCAACACGTTTTAACCTTGAAACTGAGTGGAAGAATAACTATCCTCGCCTGCGAGAACTTGACCGGGTAATATTTGTGTGACTTCTGAATTTTGTGTATATCTAATTTAATATTGTCCTCTAACAAAATTTAAGTTGATGAATAAAATCTGGTAAGCTAAATTGTTTTTAACCATGATTACTAATTTTAGAGTTACAGGAATACATTTGAAGGAACAGTTGTCACTTCTACAATAATTTAAATCGTTTATTACATAATACTAAAAATCAGGGATTCTAGCATTTGCAAGCAAGTATTTAAAAAATTTTTTTCTGAGAAGTTGAAGACTATTCTTTCAAGGTCTTATAAATTAACATGTTTATGTAATAAAAACTTTTAAAAATTATGCATCAGCTTTTTAACCTTTTTAGTATTTATACTCTTAAGTTAATAGGACTTAAGTATTGGTTTTCCTTTATTTTAAAATGCCATCAGTTGTGAAACAGCATCAGATACTGTCATTACTATAGTAAATTAATATGTGTTGACAGCTGTCACATAACATTACATGGAAAACTTACCTAAACAAATGTTACATGAAAAGTTACATTCAGAATTGAGTGAATAACTAGGCATTTGTGTCAGTTTTTGTGTCCTTATCTGGTTATTGGCATTCCTAAAGAGAGTCTAGAAGAGAAGAGCATTACTTGCAGGTCATGGATGCTTCAAACCTAAGCCCAGCCAGTAGCCTGTCACAGGCTTTCCTTTTAGTTATCTCTGAAAATCATGGCAGGGCAAATTGACTGTCTTATGAAAATCTTACTTAATTGTATCTATGTTGCCTAGAATGAACTATTTGAAAAAGCTAAAAATGAAATCCTCGATGAAGTTATCAGTCTGAGCCAGGTTACCCCAAAACATTGGTGAGTATTTGACCTTTTCTCAAAGACTTTACTATGTGAATTATAATGGAATACTAAAATTTAGATTGATAAAGTAGTGATTTATTGTAGCCTTGGCTCATCCCCCAAGCACTTAGGAAACAGACAAGAACATAAAAATGTCTTTTTATAAAATAAAACCACTATTTTAGTCTAACCAATTAAATATTTTAAGTATAATGAATTAGGTATTTATTAAGTATCTCGGAGAAGAGATATTCTGAAAGGTAGCTTTCGCCATGCTCTTTTGAAATCTTAATTCATCTTAGGTTTTTCCTTACCTTATATAAGGTAAGGAAAAACCTAAGATGAATGTTTTGTTAGATCGTGCTTTAGCTAAGTATCAAAACAGTCTGTCAAAGTTATTCTTGTTTGATCACACATAGAGAACAAAACTACAGAGAAAGTTGATTTGTAAAAGGAGAAGAGTATATTATTTTAAAATTCTCATATCTACATAAGAACACTGGTGCTTTTATAATATGTGTCTAATATGTTTTATGCAAATCACATTTGAAAATGAATCCTATTTGAGATTTTTTTAAGATAGCAAGTAAATGTACTCTTGAAAAATACTCATGCAAATTGCTTTTAAGGCCAACTGTCATCTTCAATTTATGTGTTATATCAATGTGTTGGAATGGCACTGTAACCAAACTAGGGTCCATGTATCTTAAGCAAGCTATATATAAATATCCTTTAAGTTTTTATAATCTGTATTATAAAATTAATAAATAACATTTAAAAATTACCTTCATAATGAAATCAGTAGTATTTTAAGAATTTATTAACCTCAGAGTAGAACTGTCTTTACTACCGTTTATTATAAATACTTTTTCTTTAACTTTTATATGCTCAGTTGAAGATTATCAAAATTGAACATAGACAGTAGTATCCATTCCTGAAGTTTATATTCTGTGCTAGTTTCCTTACGTTGGTGCCCTTTCTTCCTCAGTAATCTCTTAAAATAATCAAAATTTGATTTTGATTTTAAAGTAAAATCTCTGTTCTCTCTTAATCAAAATTTGCCTATTTTTAATCTCTTCTCCAAAGAATTCTGATCTTACCTGTATTTGTTGATTAATCTGAGCCATCAGGAAAGTGTGCACACACACATACACACACAGCAAATTTGTTATCTTTATTGGAGATGTGAGTTCCATTCTTGGGTTGGGAAGATCCTCTGGAGAAGAAATGGCAACCCACTCCAGTATTCTTGCCTGGGAAATCCCATGGACTGAAGAGCCTGGCAGGCTATAGTCCATGGGGTCGCAAGAGTCAGACACGACTTAGCAATTAAACAGCAGTGCTTTTCTGTAAGTCATCCAGCTTTTGAAGTTTGCCAGAGATAGATATGTGTGTGTCTGCATGTAAACATATACATACATACATACAGAATGAATAATACTATTGACCTTACTAGATTGTTTGAGGATGATGTACAAAAAAAGTGATTTGTAAAACTGTAATAATTGTAATGCTATTTATGGAGAAAAATGTGCCTTTGTAAATTTCTGGCATCATCAAATGGAATGGTTGGTTTTGTTTGGACAGAGGAAGTTTGAAATCAAAGTATACGTACACTTAAGTGAGCCTAGAAGATAAACGCTTTGGTGGTGAAGTGAATTGTGAAGGGACAAGAAACCTATATTGTCAAGATTGCCTATTGAGCCAGCAAGGAGAGAACTAGGACATCTGGTTGCTAGAGATTTATTCTTTGAGTTGCTGGATATTTTCATCACCACCCCTCTTTTTCCCCAGATTCTGTAGATTAACACAAACATTGATCACAGGTCCTAATCTTAGCTGTTTGTGCCACATTGATATCAACTGCATTGCACCCAAAATGTTTTATTTTTGTGACATAGTTTATGTTGTATTAGGTAGTATCTTTTTGCTGCTTAATGTCTTATGTGACATTTTAGGGTACACCTCTATAATGTTGATTATTATTTGAGTCACAGGACTGTTTGATCTGTATTTGGTGATCCAGAAACACTCTTACAAGCTTTTTGTCTACTGTATTTCAGTTATATTTTAAGAAAGTTTTTGGAGGTTTAGATTTGACTTACGATTCATTATAGTGAGAAATACCCTCTCAGCATTTTCACATAGTATACTTACTTGATCATTAGGAGTCGATTATGGACACTAGCAGTAAATAATTATCCTTATTTAGAAGGATAACTGGCTGGATTTATAGAAATACACTTAAAAAATGGTATCATGGTATGCATACATTTTTTGGTGAGAAGTATTAAGTTTATTTTGTTGTAGTTAAAAGAATGAAAGGAAAATAGGAATGCATAGTTAAGCACCCTAACTCTGTTGTAAAGAATCAAAAAATATTCTTATAATCTGAGATTTAAAGAATATATAGGTGGTAGGTAAGCCAATGACCAGATTATTTCAGAGGCCAAGAGATGAGAGCAAGAAAAATGACACGGGTAACTTAAGGCAGTTACTTATGGTTTTAGCGTAGAAGAAGCAAGAGGCAGAAGATGAAATAAATGTAGATATAAACAAAATATAGATGATTAAGGAACTTAGATACCATGTTCAGAAGGTTGGAATTTGTCCTATAAGCAGTTAGAACCAGTGAAGGGTTTCACTGAAGAGTTTCGGATTTGCATTTTAGACAGATTTTTGTAATAGGGGTAGTGGAATACAGGTGGAGAAAACTGAGCAAGGAGACAGTTGGCTTTTGAGATAGTCTAGATGAAAAGAGAATAGTGACTAGAATAGTAGTTGTGCAGATGGAGAAGAGAGTACATTTTTGAGATATTTGAGAGGTTACCTAGAGGATAGAAGTGATAGTATAAGCGTAAAAAAATTGAAAACTAGCTTTTTATTTGGAATTACATAATATTTGATTTATGCATAGAGTGGATTGCTCTGTAGCCATTGAAAAGTATAGGATGTTAACATGGAAAACCATGTACTATCTAGCTTTATGTTGTATTAATTAAACAGTATGTGTAATATCACCTGTGTCAACACACAAATAGTAATGTAGGCATTAAATTTTTTAAATGATAAATTAAGCTGTGAATAGTGATCATCTGGTGGCTTAGATGATAAAGAATCCACCTGCAGTGCAGGAGACCTGGGTTTGAACCCTGGATTGGAAAGAGCCCCTGGAGGAGAACATGGCAACCCACTCCAATATTCTTGCCTGGAGAATTCCATGGACAGTGGAGCCTGATGGGCTTCAGTCCATGGGGTCACAGAGAGTCAGACATGATTGGGTGACTGACACTTTTACTTTCAGTGAAAGAGAAATTATGGAGGACTTCTTTTTTTGTGTTGATTTTAAATTATTTTATGGAGTAAGTCCTATGCTTTAGAAGAAGAAAGAAAAAAAAATTTAATTGAAAGAATATATAGGTAAAGTTTGGGAGATAAAGAGGGTAATAAATAGAACTATAATGGTAACTGTATTTTGTGTTTTAGTGGTACATGGGATCGCAAAGGGTTGGACACGACTGAGCGACTGAACTGAACTGAATCCCTAGATGATTGCAAGACTTAGAGTAGAGAAGCCTTCAGTTACCTAGAACATACGCTGGGGAATTGGCCAATGTAAGCTGAGGACTAGTGGTTTGGAAGAGAAGTTGTGGGATTGGGAGAACATAGCTTCCTCTTCCTGACACTGAAGCACATGCAGCTAATTAGGAACTTCCAGGCAGAATTTGAAGAATATATTGAGGGTCCTTTGCAAAAAGTTACCTAAGGTTTGTCAGAATTTGATGATCTGGAATTTTTTTATGATCTCTTTGAAAAGGTGTATGGGTTGTAGAGTCTTGTCACAGACTGCAGCAGGAGCAGCTAAAGGCCTTCGTGGTCAGAGGCTGACTCCTGATTTTTTGTTCATCTTTCAGAAGTCTTGAGATTGTGTTTAAAGTTACCTGAATAGATGACCCTGATAAGCTTCTTTTCTTCCATCTTGCTCTTAAAATTCTCCCGTTATCTGTCATTATCGCCATGACTAAATGGACTTTGTCCTTCTAACCCTCAATATGCATCTCTCCTCACACTCTTTCTGTCTCCTTTCTCCCTCCCTTCCTCCCTTCTGTTTTTATTGAAATATAGTTGATGTACAGTATTATGTTAGTTTCAGTGTACCACACAGTGATTTGACATTTGCATACCTAATGGAACAATCACTGTAAGTCTAGTAACCATCTGTCCCCATGTGAAGTTATTACATTATTATTGGTCATATTCTTCATGCTGTATATTATATCCCTGTGACTTATTTATTTTACAACTGGATGTGTATACCTTTTCATCTTCTTCACCTGTTTGGTCCTTCCTTGCATACTTTTGTTTTCTGGTTGTAATAGAAAAAAGACCTGAAAATTAGCAAAGGAAAACCTGCAGCTAAGCTCATTGACCCAATAGACTTAATGTTACACAAAATGTTGAGTGAATATGAGTCAGCTTGCACAGTAGGGAGTGTTGAGTCTCCTCAACCAAGAAAAGTACAGTTTGGCTTTTGGACAGAAGAGGGTGTTTCTGTTACCCAGAGCTTTGTAACTGTATCCGAAAAGGTGAGATTACTTTTAAAACTGATCACTTGATAAGCAGGGTGTTTTTGTATGTTGTAGCACTATTTTACAGTAGAGATTAATTTTGGAGAATTTGAATAAATATTTTCTAGAAATTACAAATTTTTTCTTGATTAAAATAATTTTCTTTTTCTATTTAGAGAACTGTGTTCTTGTAAGATGTCTTTTAAGGTACAATTTTCAGCTTGATTATTCATCCTTTATATTATCATGAAATATTGAGCAGTTTTACCTAGCAACATACCATAGCATCTCTCTGCTCTGTGCTGATAAATTATTAAAATTGTACCAAGAAGTGTACAGTCTTGGACTCCGCTTCACAGTCAACACATATAAAGTGTGTATTAATATTAGGTAAATGAGTACATAAAAAGATACTTAGAATTACTAGTCATTAGGGAAATGCAAATTAAAACCATACTGAGATACCACTGTACACCTATTACTACAATGACAAAAATGAAAATGATTAATCATACCAAATGTTGGCAAGATGTAGAGGATTTAGAACTTTCATACTCCTCTGCTGAGAATGTAAAGTGGTTCAGTCAATTTGGAAAATGGTTTGACAGTATCTTATAAAGTTAAGTATATAATTACTGTATGATCCAGACATTCCACTCCTCGCTATTTGCCAGAGAGGAATAATAGCCTATGTCATACACAAACTTGTATTGATACATGAATGGTCATAGCAGCTTTATTTGTGATAGCCAACAACTGGTAACAACCCAAATGTTCATCAGAAGGTGAATAAGTAAACAGATTCATGTAATGGAATATTCAGTTCAATTCAGTTCAGTCGCTCAATCATGCAACCCCATGAACCACAGCATGCGAGGCCTCCTGTCCATCACCAACTCCCAGAGTCCACCCAAACCCATGTCCATTGAGTCAGTGATGCCGTCCAACCATCTATACTCAGCAAAAAAGGAAGTGAAATACTAATATACACAATGTTATGGATAAATCTCAGTTATGCTGATGCAAGAAGACAAACTAAGAGTACATGGTATATGATTACATTTACATTAAGCTGTAGAAAATACAATCTGTAGTGACAGAAAGTAAATCTAGTGGCTACAACTTTTGCAGATGATGAATATGTTCATAATCTCGATTTCTGTGATGCACAGACGTGTATGTATGTCAAAACTTTAAATATATGCAACTTATTGTAACTTAATGACAATTTTAATGATACTTTAGTGAAGCTGTTTATAAAAACTTGATATTATGTTTGAATTTGGTGTTCTTGGACCTTTTTTTTTTTTTTTTAATTTCAGGGAGGAAATCCTTCAGCAGTCTTTGTGGGAAAGAGTATCAACTCATGTGATTGAAAACATCTATCTTCCAGCTGCACAGACCATGAATTCTGGGACTTTTAATACGACAGTGGATATCAAGCTTAAACAGTGGACTGATAAGCAGCTTCCTAATAAAGCAGTCGAGGTTAGGATATAATTTAATTAAATGGGTAAGAAGCATTATCTGAAGAGAGTAGGACCTGTGAATTTTATGATTTATTCCCATCACAGTCTCTATAGTTCCTTTGGTTCTGAAACTCCTTTTATCCTTTATTGCTGATCTCTGTGTTGGGATTAACTTTAATGCTGCTACCGTTACTACTATTAAAAAGTTTTGCTAATTGCTATGGTGTTGGTGTGAGGGTATTGGTTTTCCTTCCAAAGGTGACATTTAACAAAACAAGCAAAATTTGCTTGAATATGAAATACTTTTAACTTCTTCTGTGGTTAGATATGCCATAAGGAAAATGTTTAACAGATGAAACATTTCATTTGTTTTCTGCAGGGTTCAATTTTAATTAAATAGTTTCCTTAGTTAAGAGCCTGCCAAAAGGTTAGACTAGGAGTATAAGAAAGTTACATGTTCCTCTTAGAGAATGCATTTCTAATACCTGTGTACCTTGGTTCTACCACTTTGCAGTTGTATGATCTTTGGGCTGTTTGCTTAGTAATGTTTCTGTTTTCTCATCTCTAAAATAAGGGGGAAATGTGGCCTACATAAAACATTGTTATAAGGAGTCAAGAGTTAACATGTATAATACGTAGACGATGTGTGGTCCATGGTAACCACTTGGTAAATGCCAACTGCTTTACAATGATGACCATCATCATCCAAATTGATCTTGCCATGCACGTTACTTTGAAGAGTGATTGTTGTAGATCAGAGTCAGTGTGTTCTCTGCCTCTGTGTGAAGTTGCTCACAAAATTAGAATCCATGTTAAAAATAGTTTTGTTTTTCATACTTACTAGAAACAAAATGTCAGTGTCTACTTATTCAAGTGTATTTTACCCTTGCCTATCCTGCCAGTCTTTGCTTCTTTATCTCTGCTCTCAATTTCCTCAAGTCTCTTTTTCTAAGAACTCTTACAGCCATTCTGCCTTCAGGTGTTCCTGATCCCTGGTCTCAACACATTTCCCCCTAAAGTAATTAGAGAGCTGCTGCCACCTCTTCTCACAACTGGCCCTGACATGGGCCATGTCCCATGATAGCATATTTTCATATCCTAAGGTTCAAGCAGTGGAAGCAGTCATAAAAATGGCAAGTGACTCTCTCTTTTGCTACTTTGTCCCTTCACACGTAGGTGTGGTAGGAAGACATGAACCTGCTGAAGGTCAGGAAACAGATTTTAATACCTCGCTCTGTATTCTTGGACAGTCACCTTCTTTATGCCATAATTTCTTCATGTCTGAAATGAAGAAGGCAGAATATTAAGTACAACAGTAGCTATCCCACGCAGTCCTAAGTAGGTTTAGTTCTTAATTGCTTTTGACACTGTTCTCTCGTTTCACTGTTCAGATCATTGGGAATTGGTAGTAGTACAAAACTCAATAGTACTCACCTTTGTTTGAAAGTGTTGACACATTGCTTCATATGTTTGCATAAGGGCAAAGATGTGAAAAAGACTAAAACATTAAAAAATTTAAAACTTTTTACAGTATGAAAGAGGCAGGCAAACTCAGATGTTGTACAGAGTGAAGTAAATAATAAGTAAGTGAACTGAGTCTGTGGCGGATGGGGGCTGCATGCTTTCTCTGCTCCAGTGGGCAGAGGTGTGTAGAACGTGGGCCCAGTGTTGCTAGACAGTTCAAGTGAGACTGGGAACAGATTTTATATGAAGTCTCTCAGTTTTTAAATGTTGGTTACTAATTTTTTTTTAATTTAGGAGGCCATATATGTGTTGTAGCAAAACATATCAGTAGGCCAAATCTATCCCACCAGCTACTAGTATGAGGTCTTTAGGGTAGAGTTTGTATTTGCTATCTTTTTTTAAAAATGTGATTTCATAACGTAATTTCTGATACACTGATTTATCATAGCTACTTGGCTTATATTCATGTGTTTATTGTTCCTGTTACACATTAAATGAAAGTATGAATATAAATACAGCTTTTTTCTTTTAAATCATTCTAGGTAGCTTGGGAGACCTTACAAGAAGAATTTTCCCGCTTCATGACAGAACCAAAAGGAAAAGAACATGATGACATATTTGATAAACTCAAAGAGGCTGTTAAGGAAGAAAGTATTAAACGTCACAAGTGGAATGACTTTGCAGAGGATAGCTTGGTATGTCATTTGTGTATTAGGGTGCCAGTCTCCTATTTTTGTGTGATTTCTCAAATTGATATTCTTTTATAGGAGACTATTTTTATGAGTTTAGGTTCTGCATTGAAAATACTGAAAATAACGAAGGGAAGAAATAGATTTATAAAATGCAACCAGCCTTTTGACGTTTCTCTGCCCTTCTAAAATCACCCTCTGCTCTTTCTTCCTTGGCTATCATTTCAGAAAAAAAAAAAAATCAAACCTTACAGTAAACAGGTTTCTGTAAACTTCCACAAAATTTGCATGGGCCTGAGCTATAGATGCTTCTCATTTTACCCTCAGTGATAACAAAAGGAATTAGATGCATTGATTTTCAGTGGAACTGAGTCAAAATGTTTAATGACTCCTAAAATCATAATATGTTGGATGCTTACATGGTACCAGAAGCTCGGCTATGTATTTTATAAACTTTATTTCAATCTTAAGCATATCTATTATTGTCACTTGCAAAGCTGGGATACACGCTCCCTCTCTGTCTTGGTTATAAAGAAAGGCCTGGCTCCTGACCTTCATCACCTGATAAATTTTTTGTTATGTAGAATGTTCTCATCACCATAGTCAAACCCTCATTAAGCACGGGTTCTGCTGAGTTATGAGAGGAACTGTTGGTAAGATTGCTCTGTTTTCTGGAAATGCACATCTCACTATGGGCTAATCCTAATTACAAGGTGGTTTTTTTTTTTTTTTTAAGAAATGTTTGTCTTCATGTTTGAAAGCCATATTCATTCTTGTTAAGCATCTTACTAAGATTGGTTTTCTGAGAGAGAATGGTGCCATTTTCATTCATTCATTAGTTTAAAAAGTGTAAGATTTGAAAACTAATGTTTTATAAGTAGTTCACATTTACTTAGGATTGTGTAGGCCTTTTAAGCCTCCTTCCATTACATTTTCCATTGCTGTTAACAGTGAGATAATGTTTATTGCTTTTTTTCTTCTTTTCCTTTTTTTTGAAAATGCCAACGTGTAGGTCATACGGCAAAAGAAGCAGTAGATACAATCTGAACCATTAGCTCCTGAGTACCAGGATTCTAGGGTGTAACTTGAAGTATACAGGACGCTGACGCAAGCAGATAATGGGACCCTCTGCATTTGCATGGGAGGGACATACTTTTATGTTATTGTAGATACATCTCTTAGCTTGGATATTTGCTGAGCTGTTGGTTAGAAAAAAGTTACTAAGATGACAAGACATAAATCAAAGTGGTTGTTTTTCTTTGTTATTTCAGAGGGTTATTCAACACAATGCTTTAGAAGATCGATCCATATCTGATAAACAGCAATGGGATGCAGCTATTTATTTTATGGAAGAGGCTCTTCAGGCTCGTCTCAAGGATAGTAAGTAGGAATGTGGATTATTAAGTTCTTAGTATTCTCAGTAGAAAGTCATCTAACTTTAGTGAACATTGGTTAAAAAAGCGTTAACATCGCAAGTTCTTTGTCAGTGCTACTCTAGTTGAATATTATTTGTGCAGTTTTTCAGTCAGCTGCTTGTAACTACTAAAATGTTAAATTGGACACATATTTATGTGTAATTATATTCTTAAAAGCTGTAATTCAGACTATTTTAGTATTTGCTGCTATACTTATGGAAACATCATAAGCAATTATAGTTTTCATAGATTCTAAACATATAAAATTAAATTCTTTAGCTTCTATATGCACCATATCAATCATATAATTTTTTCTTTATTTCAACTGACTTTATTGACACAGTGTTTTGAAGTAGTTAAGAAGGCAATATAGTTATATTTTATGTGCCTGGTAAGTGATAAATTTTTTTTTAATTTTTCTAGCTGAAAATGCAATTGAAAATATGGTAGGTCCAGATTGGAAAAAGAGGTGGTTATACTGGAAGAATCGAACTCAAGAACAGGTAAAAACAAACAAATCTTTAGCATTTTAATTTAGGCATTAAAATATAATCTCTGAATGCCTCTAGACCAAACTTAATAATTTCAAATATTTTATATCAGCCTTTCTAAAATATAATAAATCTGTAGAATAAACTACAAAAGAAAATTTTTTGAAAAGTGAGGTAGCTGTGTTATTAAAAAGAGTGATTGATTATTTTGTTCATTTGAAGTGCCTGTTTGAGGTAAAATAAAGACTGAAGTTTAAACAGAAGAAAAAAACGATAAAATTTCAGAGGATGTAGAATAAATGTGATTAGAATAAAAGATGATAACTTTAATTTGGTTATCACTTAAATTTTCTGTTAGTTGTCTATTCAAGTTATTCTTTTGCATTTTTTGCTCCTGTGCTTATAAAATAAGTTAAAAAATTCAGACAGGAAGTAGAATTATATAATTCATTCATTTTATAAACATTTAATTAGCACTTTAACAAAATGGTAAGGCAAACATAAGTAACTTTATAAGTGAATAAACAGAAGGAAAATGTGTAGTCATTAAAATCCTCCCTCTACCCATTTTTGTTCCTTCCTTTTTATGGTTTCTTTTCCTATTAGCATTGAGTCTTACACCACGATCTCTTATGTTAATTCCTTAAATAAAGATTGTAAATAGAATATAGAATCAAAATACATAGATGAAGAAAGTAATGGATAAGAAAAAGAGGTGGCATACAATTCATTTCCTTTCTTCCTTTCTTGAATCCGTATAATTACCAAAATGAGACCATCAAATGTGGAAATACTGAAAGAGCAGATAAAGAGAATGAAAGGTTACCAAATGATATATTTTTCTTTATTTTTTATTTTCATTTTTAAAAGAATTATATATATATATTAATTATATGATCAGCATCCTATTATTTTTTCTGGTTTTAGGCATTTCTTGTTTCATAAGCTGACTATCTTGAGTCCCAGTTGTCTTAAAATAGTGAAGGGATAGTCTTCCTCCTTTCTTTTTCTTTCTAATTTGATTTTTTTGGGAAAATGAGTCATGAAGAGACTGAAGAGAAGCTGATGAAGTTGACAGCATTACGGTTGGGTCTTGCCTGTGTTCCCCTGAAGAAGGAAATGGCAACCCACTCCAGTATTCTTGCCTGGAATATCCCATGGATGGAGGAGCCTGGCTGGCTACAGTCCATGGGGTTGTGAAGAGATGAACACGACTGAGCAACTTCACTCACTTGCCTGTGTTCAGAGTACATCAGTTACCTCTGTTCTCCAGATGGGCTGCGGGGAGGCAGTCTTCAAAAAAGAATTTCAGGGCTATCCATCGGAGATTTCTGACTTTGAGACAGGAAGAGACATTGATTAGAAAGAACTGGTGTAAGGCAGATAAACTCCAAGGAAAATGGTCTCTGACCCTTAAGGCTTAGTTAGGCTTAATTAGGTCTAGAACAACCAATGATAGCAGAACTTACTTCAGCAACTAGTTGTAAACATGCTTTAGCCAAACATTCTCAGAGAGGAATGGTTCCTGGTTGTATGTTACTTTCTCAGGAACTTGAACTTACAGGGAATCCCTTAAAAGAGAAGCAGGGGAATTACTGGATTGACCAAAAAGTTCGTTCAGGTTTTTTCCATAAAAAACAACAACAGGAAAAACCTGAACAAACCTTTTGGCCAACCCAGAAGTTTTAAGGTCAAAGCAAGGATCTGTAGAGGAAACTTTCTTTTAGGGTTTCAGGGCAGCGTGCATAAGATCCATAGATGAATGGAGGCCATAGTTTGGAGAGGGGAGTGACAGGAGAATCACAGGGGAGGTGTTTGTATATGTATGTTTTGTTTTCTCTTTCAATACATAGCTTCATGTCAGACTCACCGAATTAAGTTCTCCTTCTCTAGTCTCTCTAACCCTCCCACTCCCAGGTGAAAACCACTGGAGGCTTCATACCTGGAGGCTTTAGTGAGAAACTGATTCTAGAAGAGATTGAGAGTATTCCTAAAGTCTCATGCTGCAAATTTAGATAGCTCTGTAACAGTTTCATTTCTTTTTGAATTGGCAGGACTTAGGAAAAGAAACAAGATTGTCCTGTGTTGAAAAGGAGAAATCCATGTTCTAAAAATTATTTTTTGCTTTTGTATTGTTACTTTTCCTTAATCGGGGCGGAGGGGGTGGGGATCCATTCCTTTGAAGCATTCTCACTTTGAGCTAAACTAATGGAAAATTGGTCAGGATACATGGGCGAGTAGTAGCCTCCTGGACACCCAGTATGATGGGGACAGGTGGACAAATGGAAGTGAAACAGTGCAGGAAGAGTGGGAGAATGTCATGATTAGAGATTTCCTTCCTCTCTCAGACCAGATAGCAGAAGTTTAAGAAAACAGTGAAATTTCTCTTTATTAAATGTCTTTTAATGTATCATGTTTTCAGAGAATATTATTTAGTAGTTTCATTTACAAGCCATTTCTTTGTGTTTAAGTGTTATTCTTATGGGCAAAGTGCTATGGCAGTAACTTGTTTCATGTAATTCAGTGAATTTGAAGCTAGTTTCGTGTACCATGTAATTTGGAAAGGATGGAAAACTGAAAATATAAATTTACTTTGACACCATATTCTAGTTTTGCTTTCAAAGTTATCACTAGTGTGTGTGTTTTTCTCATTTGGTGAAGAGATTATAAGCAATATAATTGTTAAGAGACTGGAAGTGAATTTAAGAATGATAGATACCTCACAGAAGCAGTCTCATAATGATTTTTAATGAAAAGACTTAACTATTAATTTCATATTTATCAGAAAAGGACTATGTGAACAGGCACAGGGCCTTATAGTCATCCAGTTCTTAGATTTAAGGCATTCATAGAACATTATCTCTTCCCATGTATACAGGATACTTTTTCCTAGATTGAACTTATACCCTAAGGTCAAGAAAGGAAGTGCATAGTAAGGTGTCTGGTTCTCTAATTTGGACAGTAAAACATTTCAGCCAAAGTAAAATACAGCAAATAGGGCTAATCCCCTTACCCCTGTGGCCCTTCATATGTCCAGGTTGTTTTGCATTCATAAACCGTGCTGTTCTGTTCTTCCTTGTTTGCTGTAATTGGGCGTGTGGCACCAGTCGTGCCAAAGTAATATGTTTATTAAAAATGGAACTCTGTTTTTATAATTATGCCAAATCATGAACTATCTAAACACAGTCCTCTTTTAAACATTTCAAAGTGTGTTCACAATGAAACCAAGAATGAGCTAGAGAAGATGCTGAAGTGTAATGAGGAGCACCCAGCTTACCTTGCGAGTGATGAGATAACTACAGTCCGAAAGAACCTTGAATCACGAGGAGTAGAAGTAGACCCAAGCTTGGTAATGAAAGTTTCTGAAAAGCATGAGTTTGCTTCCTGAGTCTTTGTTTCTTGTAGTAAAATGTTATTACTTCTAATATATTACCTAGATACTTAGGCACTTAATTTGATTTTGATCATGGGTACTTTTGCTGACAGAAAGAACTCTGATTTTGAGTGTGGAAAAAATTTGAAATTTTATTCTCAGTATTATTAAGTGTAATGCTTTAGTTTGTAAATGGGGAACCTGAGACCTAGAAAAGGGAAGTATCTGGGCAAATTTAGCAGTTAGTTCTGGCAGAAGGGGATGAAACACATTCAGATCTCTGTACCACATTACACTGGCTCAGATTACAAAATAAAATTTTTGCTTAAATAGAGTTCATTTATATGTATGTTTTTTCAGTCAGATGTATCTTAATCATACTTAATGTGTATGAGTAAATTGGATAATGCCTTTGAGTTCTATCTCTTTGCTCTTTATAAATAAAGATGAGGCTATATAATTATAGTTTAAAGTACTTTTTTGCTTATTTCATGATGCTTATTTGGAGAAAGTCTTTAAAAAGCAGTTGTGTTTCTGGATCTATGTTCCCTAGTTAGGGTGTAAAGAATCAACTTCATTTTAATATTAGCTTAAGTGAATTCCATTTAGAAAAGTAATTCTAGTGGGTAAAACAATCATTTAAGAAATTTCAGAGCCATATATAAATTCTTTTAAAGAGTATTTGCTATTTATGTTTCTGCACTTGAGAAAAGAGTATACTTATTTAAAAAATTCACCAGAGATCAGAACAAGAAAAGAAAACTGATGAAAAGAAACAGATAAAGCTGTTATATATCTCATTGTTTATAAATTGAAAATGAAGTTAAAGCAATTGATTACATGCAGTTATTAGTTGAATACAGATTTAATTTATCCACATTAGTCCTCGCTCTCACTAACAATAAATTGTGTTTGGTTGGATACTTTCGAACTTTATAAATAGGAGGGACTTTGTCCATATCTTAGGATGTGCATTGGCTATATATCTTAATTACTTTCTGTGAGTAAGAAAATGCCAGTTTTCTCCCCAAAAGAAAGTATGTTCACTGAACAGAGTACTGTAATCTAGATGGGCTGGATGTCAGGAGATGTGAGTTCTGGTGCATTTCCATTCCGTTGGCTGGTAATACTGCCTGTAACAGTTGGTATAAACTCTCTCAGCCCCTTCTCAACTGCCACATGGTGTTGATTAGGCTTGTTTACTTTCTCCACATTATTGTCATGCTCAGGAGAAGACAGTGGTGTGAGAGAACCTTGAACACTCTGACAGACTATGTAGTAATAAAATGATGGGGATCATATTGCTGAGGTAACAGTGAAATTTAATAATGAGAAAGGAAATCTTGTTGGGTTGATGGACGTGGTCTGAGACCAGCTTCCTAGTCTAGCCCTGACCTCAGTCAAGGCTCACAACCTCATTTGCCTCAGACACCTTAATTCTAGCTAGGGGAAGATAATCCCCACCCTGTCTACTCTACTAGATTATTAATAATAATGCTTGTTAAAAACAGTACAAATTTTGAAGTACAAAGACTGTTAACGAGTCAGATTAGTAGTAATCTAATCTTTATCTTGAAACAAATTTTTTAATGGATATAAACAGTTGACAGAATAACAACATTGCTGTTGTTTTTCATTTTTTTTTAAAATTTTTTATAAATAAACTTTGTATATGACTTTTCAAAATGTGTTTGATCAACCTGGAGAGTATACAGTAACTTTTTGGTCTTGGTTTTCTTTGTTTTTATTTCAGATTAAGGATACTTGGCACCAAGTTTATAGAAGACATTTCTTAAAAACAGCTCTAAACCATTGTAACCTTTGTCGAAGAGGCTTCTATTACTACCAGAGGCATTTTGTTGATTCTGAGGTAAGGTTTCCAAAAGCAAGGAGAAATGTTTTTTAGTGATAGTTATTTAAGTGCTTAGAAGTAACCTTGTTCAGTTCAGTCGCTCAGTCATGTCCGACTCTTTGCGACCCCGTGAACTGTAGCACACCAGGCCTCCCTGTCCACCAACTCCCAGAGTCCACCCAAACCCATGTCCATTGAGTCGGTGATGCCATCCAACCATCTTATCCTCTGTCGTCCCCTTCTCCTCCTGCCCTCAGTCTTCCCCAGCATCAGGGTCATTTCAGATGAGTCAGCTCTTCACATCAGGTGGCCAAAGTATTGGAAGTTTCAGCTTCAACATCAGTCCTTCCAATGAACACCCAGGACTGATCTCCTTTAGGATGGACTGGTTGGATCTCCTTGCAGTCCAAGCGACTCTCAAGAGTCTTCTCCAGCACCACAGTTCAAAAGCATCAGTTTCTTCATGAAAATTTTGCTTCAACTAATTCTTTAAAGAACTGTATAAAGTTCTTAAAATGGACAATTGCACAGTTTAATGTCACATTTTACAGAGTAACCCCTAGGTGGCAGTGAGCGTGTTAGTTGTTCAGTTATTTGACTGTGACTCCATGGACCTAGGAAAACCCCTAGGTGGCAGTAGACTAATGCATTTGAGCATTAAAATGCTTTTCAAAGTATACTGAAAGAGCTCTGTTAATCAGCAGTCCTATTTGAGATCCATAAAATGTTTTTCTTTTTTTCTTTTTTGAATATGAATGTCTTTTTTTTTTTTCATTTATTTTTATTAGTTGGAGGCTAATTACTTTACATCATTGCAGTGGTTTTTGTCATACACTGAAATGAATTAGCCATGGATTTACATGTATTCCCCATCCCGATCCCCCCTCCCACCTCCCTCTCCACCCGATCCCTCTGGGTCTTCCCAGTGCACTAGGCCCAAGCACTTGTCTCCTGCATCCAACCTGGGCTGGTGATCTGTTTCACCCTAGATAATATACATATTTCGATGCTGTTCTCTTGAAACATCCCACCCTCGCCTTCTCCTAGAGTCCACAAGTCTGTTCTATACTTGAGCAGCTTAAAAGAAAATTTTTGTTTAAATGTGACAGTGTAAAAATTGACAAGTTTTTTTTGCATCATTTTAATTGTTGGAATGTGGCTTCCCCAGTGGCTTAGTGGATACAGAATCTGCCTACAATGCAGGAGACATAGGAGACGCGGGTTCGATCCCTGCGTTGGGAATATCCCCTAGAGGAGGAAATGACAACCCACTCCAGTTTTCTTGCCTGGAAAATCCATGGACAGGAGGTTGGCGGTCTACAGTCCATGGGGCCACAAAGAGTCAAGATACAGCTGAGCAACTGAGCACACATGCAACTAACCCACAACTATTGGAAAGACCTCTCTGTGTAGAATAAGCTTTATTTCTTCCTCTTTTGAGAAGCAGCATGCTAGATTTTTTTTTGAAGTATAGTTGATTTTACAAGATTATATTAGTTTCAGGTACACAGTATAGGGATTCAATATTTTTATAGATTATGTTCCGTTTAAAGTTGTTATACTGCTATGTTTCCCTGTGCTGTACAATATATTCTTGTAGTTTGTTTATTTTATACATAGCCATTTGTACTTCTTAATCCCTATCCCTCTTTTACTCCTCACCCAGAGGATGAGCTTCTTTTTTAAAATATCACTAATTTATTTTCATATGCAAGTGAATTTCAAAAATGGCTTGCTTGCACATTCAAAGAAAAGAGGTTAGCCTGAGGACATATTTAAGATAATGTGATTGTTAGTTGAAACTAAATGCTAATTAAGGATATATTTTGTGGACTTCTATTTGTATAGAATGTAACGAAATGCTCTACCTCCCAAGTTTACTTGGCTTTGTCATTGAAATCAAAACTTTTAGCTGTGCAGCAGATAAAACCCAAATCATGCAGAACTTCATGGATCCTATACAGAAAAAAATCACTAGGCTCTCTCTATAAGAGGAATATGTATATTAGGTAAAATCTGAATATTTTTATTGAATCATAAGATGTAGGTGCTGACTTTAGTAGTTGTATGGGTTCGTGATTGTGGTTTTCATTTTTAAATTGCCTCTGGTAATCTTAATCACCTCATATTTCAGTTGGAATGCAATGATGTTGTCCTGTTTTGGCGAATACAGCGTATGCTTGCTATCACCGCAAATACTTTAAGACAGCAACTTACAAACACTGAAGGTAAGCCACAGAGGCACCGCTTTCTAATTTGACATCAAAAATAACTGTAATGTTCATTTTAAATAGAAGGATGCCAAAATACTTCCTGAAAATTAGATTTATTAAAAAACCAAAAATAATTTACCTTTAAAATATTAATGAAAATAAAATCATAATTGAGAAATATGGAAAATAAACATACCAGTTGTCTTTATAACCCAAAAACTCTGTTATTAAAGGTGTGCTAGGCATCACTTAGGATTTGGGGAAATCTGTACTTCCGTGAAAGTATTAGGGCTTAAGAAGAAGACTGTCTCTGATACTATATAAAGTACTGTATATCAGGTAGAGATTCTCCCTATAACTGAGGAGTCTGAACTTAATAGATTTACCATGATGAGAAAAATAAGAACTTGCTCTCCATATATATTGTTGACTTTGTCATTCTTGTATGTTCGTAAAAATGGTGCTTCTTGTGTTCCTTTATTTGCTTTAAACAGTCAGGCGATTAGAGAAAAATGTTAAAGAGGTATTGGAAGATTTTGCTGAAGACAGTGAGAAGAAGGTAAAATTGCTTACTGGCAAACGAGTTCAGCTGGCCGAAGACCTCAGTAAGTAATCCTGCCTGCCCTCCATCTCAATGCCTTTTCACCTTCCGCATGTCCATTTATTTCTCCATTTCATTTTAAACTTACAGAAGAGTGTATGCAAAAAGCTTTTTTCCCTTGAACTGTTTGAAAGTTGCTGTCTTAATGTTCCATCAGTTCCAAATATTTTAATGTGTGTTTTTTATAAACAAGGATTTTCTCCTAGCAACCATCAAAATCAAGATTTTAACAGCAAGGATAAACTACTACATCTGATATTTAGACTCCATTCAAGTTTCACCTGTTGTCCTTATATTGTCCTTCCATATCACAAGATACTCCATATGCATCTTTTGTTTTCCCTGACCCAGCTTCCCTTTTTTGTAGAATGATATTTAGAAATCACAAAGAGCCGGACACAACTGAGCGACTAAGCACAGCACAGCCTTTAGAAATCAAGAGCTGGGAACTAGATACATTCATTGTTGCTGAAATATCACTGTTCCCAGACACGCTCAGGGGAGCAAGGGAACAAATATGCATGTGTGTCTGTGTGCACATATACACATATTTATATCTGTATTTCTAATCGTGTGTCTATATTGAAAACCATCAGTTGACACCAGTACTTTCAATTTTAATCTAATAATACTGAGCTCATTCTAATTTTCTCTTTTTCTGTATTTTTGTTGAAAATATTTATTTGGCCGCATCAAGTCTTAGTTGTGGCACACAGGCATGCAGGACCTTTTGCTCTGGTTTGCAGGCTCAGCAGTTGTGCCATGAAGGCTTAGTTGTCCCACGGCATGTGAGATCTTAGTTCCCCAACTGGGGAACAAACCCCCATCCCTTGCCTTGGAAGGCAGATTCTTAACTACTGGACCACCCAGAGAAATCTCCCCTTTTCCATATTTATAATTCCTTTTTCTGACAGAATTCTGGCTCTTAGTGTCCTTAATATATTTATTTTAATCAGTCCTTTTACATGTAACTAAACTTGGCACTGTCCCCTTCATTGCTCAAATGTCCTCACCCAGCTCAGGTTCTCCTCACCTGACTCCAGGCCATCACCACAGTTCCTCCTCCTGTGTTAATACCCTTTCCACCTCATCTCGGCTGTGACATTCTGTGCCAGGATGCCCTTCCTCATGGAGTTCTTTTTACTGATGTCATACTCTGACACTGTCTCTCCTCGTTCTTCCTGCTCCCTATCCAGCTACACAAGGACTCTTCCTCACCTAAATCCCGAACATGCTTTTGTAGAGATACCATTTTTGTCTGCCTGTGCTTTGGCACTTTGCACTGCCTGCCTACCCTCCTCCACGAATCCTTTCCTCACTACTGGGTAGGTCACCACACCCCCACATGAATACCCTCTTAAGCTTGTACTGGCTTTAACACATACACCAGGACAATATGGCTCCCTACCCTCAGCCCCCAACCTCGCTGGGCCTTACTCATCATTTTGTCACTTTGTTTTCAGGGCATAGGGGTCGGGGTTCTTTCCTGGGTGCTAGTGAATTCCTCACTTTAAGCTGTTTGGATTTCATGTTAAGATTTACTTAGATACTTCTGAATCCAAGGAAATCGGTGAAAGATTTATATTATTAAATAAAAATACTAGTGATCAGTGCTTCTGTTTGCATTAACCTTGTAACAAGTTTCCCTTATTTCAGCTTCATGAAGCAGTAGTTTTTCCTTTCAATGTATACTTAGCTTTGCTATCTATGAATTTTCTGACGTCCAGAAGATAGCACATGCTCAACAGAAAGCAGTTCCTCAAATCTGAAAACAGTTTCTGAGCTGATATGTAGCACTACAACACAGTCCCCAGAACATCCAAGAAAAACCAGGCAGTTTTCCGGTCTCCTCCCTGTGCCGGAGCCGTGTGTCCTCCACTGTTTGTCCTCTCCTCTCTCCTCCCAGCTTACCTCAGCTGCTGCTTTCTTTCTCCTTGCCTTTTCCTTCTTTTCTTTAGGTAATCTTTCTTTGATACATATCTCGCTTTAACTTTTGTTTCCATCTCCTGTTGTTCTTCCAGTTTTTCATGCCACTTCGGCAGAATAGTTAAGTTTGTGCTAACTCACAGGTCTGTACTTAAATCTGAACTACCATGTGCTTTGTTGTCATTGTTCAGTTGCTCAGTGGTATTCTGACTCTTTGCAACCCTATGGGCTACAGCAAGCCAGGCTTCCCTGTCCTTTACTATCTCCTGGAGTTTGCTCAAACTCATGTCCATTGAGTCGGTGATGCCATCCAACCATCTCATCCTCTCTCTCCCCCTTCTTAGGCAGGCTATCTCCCACAACCTTAACTTCCTTTGAAAGAGTGGTACTACAGTAGTTCTTTTTTTTTATAGGATTGTTAGGGAAATTGGTTCAAAAAAGATTTGTAAGTTCCTGGTTCATAATTTTATGCTGAATTAGTACTGTTCAGGAAGAGATGTATCAGTTTCACAATGTATACAGATCTATTTCTTTTGTGTCTCTCAAGAAAGTTATCAGACAGTGAAGTACTTCCATGTGTTTTACCTGAATATGCATTATTAAGTGATTAGAAAATGTGTCTTTTCTCAAGTTTTAGAATAGTCTTCTTTTTAAAAAATATTTATTTACTTGGCTGTGCTGTGTCGTAGTTGCAGCACGTGGGCTCTTTATTTGGGGCGTGCAAACTTTTAGTTGGCGCGTGTGGGATCTAGTTACCTGACCAGTGTAACCTAGGCCCCTGCATTGGGAGCTTGGAGTCTTAGCCACTGGACCACCAGGGAAGTCCCTTTAATAGACTCTTATGTAACCCCATCACTTTTCACTCCCAATTTGATTATTTAAAGAAAGTGTATTGCTAACACAAATTTGTGTACTGTCAAGCCAATTATTATGTTTTCCTGCTGTTTTTCCTGAAAAAGTATTCATATGACTCCCTTGAAATGACTTACCACTTTTGTGTGTGTGTATAAATATATAATTATCATAATGTTTATGTACCAAATAATGTCCTTGGAAGCAAGTGTTTGACCAGTGACTCAGCCTCATCAGTCACACTAAAGGAGATGAGACATGACTTTGTCCATTAGTTGAAAAAGAATCTTGAGAGTACTTTTTCCTTACTGTTTATCTTCAGTCTAACACTTGGGAATATGGTCATGGATACTTTCAGCCAGAAAACTTTCAAAGTTTAATGGTTATTACTGTATTACACAGATCAGAGTTCCCAGTATAGCATATTTAATTAGAATATGTTAAGTTGGTTAATGAAATTTAGAGAAAGGAAGGCAGATAGGGCTTTTGTTTTGTTTTTTACAATTTGAAATGGATACAGGATGAAATATTATAGAAATTGGTACAAGTTTGATGCATCATGTATTTTGCCAGGCTTAAGCTTGCCCATTTTCAAATCATTTCACCACTTTACTTTGGACGTTCAGCAACTGATTATACTTTAAGATGATTACATAAAAAGTAGCGTGATGTTCTTTCATTTTAAGAAGAGGTACCACTTTCAATATTGAAATGAAGCCACAAAACTAGAATTAGAAAGATGAAAGAAGAGTTTGCCTCTTCTAGTCCTAGGAGGCTCATCAGTTGAGGAGTCATACAAGGAACCCAGACTCTAGAAACAGTGGATTCCATCGTGGAACAGGGAGAGGTCAGGAGGACCCTGGGGCATCTTGAGGATGTAGAAAGTAAGGAAGTAGTTGAAGGATGATAGGGACATGTCAACAAGATACAGAAGCCAACATGCAGAGGCTCCTGCTAGCCAACACTAGAACAATTTGGGCATCAAAGTAAAAAAGGATGGTGCAAGGAAAAAAGAGTAACTGTATGTTGAAAAAGACTGGTAATAACCACCTTAATCAAGCGGTTAAAATAATAATATCAGTAATGGTCAGATCAGAACTATGTGCTGCCTTAGAGAATTCAGTGAGAAGAACCCAGTGTCACTTCTGTGATTTTCTTACCAAAGATGTATGACTTAAATTCAATCATGAAGATATATCAGAAAAACCCAAGTTAAAGCACAGTCTACAGAATAGCTGGCTGTAATCTCTTAAGTGTATCAAGATCGTGGGTGACAAGGAAAGGCTGAGGAATTGTTCAGCTTGAGGGAGACCAAGAACAGGAAAACAAAAGACAATTTATGTGACGCTGAGCTGAATCTTTTTGCTCTGAAGGATGTTAATGGGACAGTTGGTGGGTACCTGAGGGTTACATGGTAGTCATATGTCAACATTATCAATTTTTAAACTTTGTTTGTTAGATTGAGATTATTTAGGGAAATAATCTTATTTGTAGCTAACATACAATGCAATTGGGGCTTGTGAGGCATAATGACAGTAAATGATTCAGGAAAATTATGCTCTTTGTGGTATTCTTAAAACTGTTTCCTAAGTCTGAGAAAAGGATAAAAAAGGATATATCCTGATACAGGATCAGGGATCATATGAAAATAATTTAGAGAAAATGAGGCTTTTGAAAACATCATCTCTGAAGATGTTGAAAGATTGGGTCACCTCATGGACAATTTAATAAAATACATAACTGATCTTTCCACCTTAATCCCTTTTTTGCAATGTCTACTCATATTCAGAATTACCCAGTATCCACTATGACATTGATGAAATGCTTTTGATTTTGTAGTGAATATTTTCTCAGGATTTCTTTTTTATAGATATTTAAGTACAACATTAATTTAGATAAAATCCATTTGGATTCCCAGCATAATTTTTAATAGTGTGTCCTATCTATTTATTGAAATAGACTGCAATTTTAAAACACCTTCTTTGGAGAGGGAAAAATAAGCATGTTATATAGCTCAATTCAAAATTTTTCTATAATCTGATTTATAAGATCTATTTTGTGATTGTCATTATATAAAATAATATTGCTAACTCCTCGTAGACTTTTTTTTCGGGGTTTATTCTCGACTCCAGCCCGGAAACTGAATGTCTGGGCACTGGTAACAGCTGCTGGTGGTGTTGCTAAACTGCGTTTCATCAATACAGCATGGGATTCTTCTGTTGTTTG